GGCACCCAGGCCTCGCTACAGGCCGTGGCAGCACCCAGGCCTTGCAAGAGGCCGTGGGAGCACCCAGGCCTCGCTACAGGCCATGGTAGCAGCCAGGCCTTGCTACAGGCCATGGTGGCAGCCGGGCATCGCTGTGGGCGCTGGGCCTCGCTAGCAGGGAGCACAGGGCAGGGTGGCCCTGGCCGCAGCACACGGAGAGGGCTGCKCTGGGGCTCGGCCAGTGCATGCAAGGGCAGTGAGCGCCGCTACAGGCTCTACAGGCGGGACATGATCCTGCGCCGGCGGCTTAGGCAGGGCCTTTCTGAACCGTGGTCACCAATTCAGTCTTGGTCCATACATCCTGCTTGTGAGATCCTGCAGGTGGTGGAGTGTGAGCGCTTGCCCCTCTATCTGAAGCATGAAGCACTGGCTGTTGCTCTGAGAAATTAGTAGTCTGCCTGTCTCAGAACAAAAATCTTGGGTTGCCGATTTTRAAGTCAGTCTCTAAATTGACACAGATGGACCTGAGGTTAATTTATCATTATCATTTCATAAAGATGTGCAACATTAATGTATTGTGATTCTTTTGGGGATCAAATCTCTCCTTTGAGACAGAGATATGTAGTGTTATACTATATCACAATACATGAGCATGAAAGAACAAATGAACATTGTTGAACAGCAAGGTTAGAACAAAGGTGGTCATTTTGCAAGACGCCGTTTTGCACAATGAAAAGATGGTTTGTTGAATTAATAATACCTCCTTTATGCTCTAAGTGTCTATACAGGAATTGTGAATGGCTTGTAACTATTGTACACTGTGTGACCTATTGTAATATCCAAGGACATGGATTCAAGGACATACTGTAATACACAAGGAATTGGATTAAGACAGTACAGATCATTTGCGCGAGATTCTTTTCAGAAATGTGCAATAATTTTATAGCACTTTAGGATAGTTAAGAGATCCACATGATATGTTCTGAAGATATAACTCTTTCAGCCTGCTTGCATGCTTCTGTAGAAGGTTTCAGTCTTACAGGCAGATTTATTTAGTGTTCAAATATTTGAGTGACCTATTCACCCACCAGACTTCATGGGTTCTCTCATTTTGTTTTTCTTTTTACCTGGGTCGGGGCTTGAAGCTGTTGGTTTGGATGGAGAAGTGCAAACAGGAAAGCAGATTGCGTCAGCAGCTCTAGTTTGGGGGTTGGCATATGGATTGTGTCTGTGTGGTTATGTTTTTTATTATTATCTATTAAGTAAATTAGTGAGAAGTTTATTAGTTTGTCAACTTACCCTCTGAGTATTTGAACATTTTGCTAGCTAATTCTTATACCCCTATAGTGGAAATTTGAATATTGAAGTATCCTTCCCCTTTAGATTATAGGTAGAATAAAGCAAATAAGCAAAAGAATAAATTTGTTAGGTAAGGGGACTGACAGTAAGTAAGACTTGTAAAGCTGGTTGGTCTTAGTCTACAGTGTTGGTAAAATACATTCTAGTTGCTTCAAATTCTTTATTTTCTTATTCATATTACTCTGTAGTAATAGCCTCTATCAAAGCTGCATGGTTGCAATGTCTGTACAACAGTGATGCATAAATACATGATTACCTTGCATAATTACACTGCACTTCCACTACTGAGTAGTAGAAAAGTAACCTAAGTAACCTAACTTAAATACTTAGGTAACTGAATCTAAACATTCAGTTATCTGGAAGTTAAATTAATCCAACTGTTGGTGTTTTCAAGAAAGTCTTGGTAAGGAAAGTATAAAATTCTTCTTTCAATGAGTACCTCAAATGAGCTGTTCTAGAGAGGCTTGCAGCTTTTTAAAAAATATTTTCTAGTTTGTCCTTGAGTACTAGAATTTCAAATTCTCATATTGTGGTTTTACTTTTCTGCACTTGATACAGTGAGTTATATTTTATGCAATTAGTGTTACATGATATGAATGGCATCCTACAATTTCTTCTTAATGCTATCAGAGCCTGTTCTGCAGGCAGCTGATATAAGGAGCAGGGCAGCTTAGTAGGATCCCAGATTATATTCTGCTGACTACTAACTTTCTTTTAATGCATTTTCTTTAAAATATTACACAGACAGTATCATTAGTACCTTGACTGAACTCAGTGCACTTCATGACAATAAGCTGAAGCAAGCTGCTGTCGATACATTTAGTTGTCATAATGAATTGATAAGTGAATGYTAACAATACATTTTCATTTGTTTAGCCCAAGATATCCTTATATATTGTGTTAACTTATATTTTGAATCAAATGAAATCCATGCAGCCAAAACCGATTTTTTTGCTGCATGTTGCTCAGCATGAGGTGGGGTRACCACACAAACCAGTGGAGGTTTGGCAGCCCTGGAGAGTTTCTTGCGCTTTCCTCTGGGCAGCTGCAAAATGCAAGATCATGTACGTGCTAGAGAGCCGTTACTATATTATCCTGCTTAAATAAAGTCTAAATTCTACTTCTTTCTCTTAACTCTGAAGCCSTGCAAGTACTGGAAGTCCATGCAATAACCATCATGCAGTTTAGCTGTTAAAATGCTGTAAAAATACAGAAGGAATTGCTGGACTAGCAAATGTACCCAGATGCAAGAGGGTTTCGCAGGGGATCCTTTTACACAGGTTCTATCTCCARGCCACTTCCTCTGCCATTAGCGACRCTGTCAGCTGCTATCTCCTGCTTCTGGCTGCCCCCTGGCACCAGTGACACTCGCTCACTGGGAGGAAGGTGGCTAACACGCTCTCTAACCTTCCCAAGAGAGAGAAAACAGGAGGAAAAGTGAGACTGGCTTGTGAGGGTGCAGGAGAAGTTCATCCCCTCTGACTCTGATCAACTCGTGTTTATCTCTGAAATGCAGAATTATGGGATGGAGCAGAGCTAGCAGACCCCACCTGTGTGGGATTACCCCGCTCCCACCCCTTCTTTTAGTAAGCATATATCTGAGTTTTCTTTAATTAAAAAAATACACATAAGCTGAGAGGACAATATTGTGTTTACTCTRACTCATAGAAGCAACMTTACGAYTGCTAAAAWTATKYRCCYCTYTTCTCCCTCTGATTATAGGAGATATCCCTCTGATATCTCCTCTTCAATTTCTATCTATGTTTCTATCTAAGAAAGCTGCATAGTTTGAGAAATGCTGCCCGCCACCTTAGGGCCTGCACACAGTGATGGACTGGARGGGGAAGGACTTCCTAAGCTAATACTCGCTCTTAGGAAAAGCATGAAAGTGCATCCTAAATTGTTTTCCTAAAGGATTTGTTCTGACATTCTTCCTAATTTCTGCCAAGGTTATTCCTGACTGCCTTTTTAAAATATGAATCATTAATAGGCAAAGTTTAGAGTTCATTTTGAAAAGCTAGCARCAACCAAAACCTTAATATATGTTTCTTACTCCTAAATAAAGAAATTTTCAGGCTTTCAGATGTTGAATAGAGATGTCTGCATTGTATGAGGGAAACCAGTTTTGCTTTGTTTGCACCCTGCACTGTGATACTGTACAATCCCTAGCACTTCTTGTGTAATGATAGGGCAAAATCTGYCCCTGACAGCATAAAAGCCCAAATTAAAAACAGAGCAGTGGGAAGCAAATCAGCAGCTCAAGGCAGCCCGTGGGCAAAGGTGCAAGTGTCTCATCAGTTCCATTGTATTTGGGTTCTACATCCCTTTCCAACTAGTGTTGTATAAATCATTTGAAGGCTAAATAAATTTATTTTCCAAGGGAGCATTCAAATCAGAGGGGTTCAGGTGTAGACCCGCTCAGGAGGACAGGGTTGTGTCAGAAAGGTGATGTGATGAATCGCATCTCTCCAAGGGCAGAAGGGACAAGGCACTAGCTCCGATTCAAGGGTAAGGAAAATGAGGTGAGGAAAATAGCAGCTGGATTGCAGAAACATTCCTTCAGATGTAGGGGGCTGATGGCATTTCAGTGTTAGCTGCCAGGCAGGGACTGGTCTAATCGGAGATTCCAGTCTGCACTATAAATCAACGCCTGTAGCCAGTTGGAAAATGTGGCTCTTGGAAAACAAATTTTCTAAAAGCAAATACACAGTAGCTGCTGTGCTGGATTTGTTTAAATAAAACATTTCTTCTAACTGTCAGCTTTGTAAATGCAACTTCGTAAAATGTGATTGAGGATTGAAGGAAACGAGGAGGGAAAACAAATTTGTAATGCTTCCCATTTTAAAGAGGAAAACATTGTRGTTTCAGCTTAGACTAAATGGGCAGATGTACTAGGTTGTGCTAGGAGAGCTAGGGATGAAGAAAGACCTTGGTTAATATTTCAGTTGAAGAGGGCAGCAAGATGGAAAAGTTGAGCTGGTTATAGAGGGCTCTCTTGGGGAATGTCATTCGTGTAATGAATTTTGGGGTTCAAGCAGAGACGGTGGTTACTTGTGTCGAGCATTGTACCTGAGGTCTTGATTGCAAAGCCTCCAAGCCTTGTTCCACAAGCTCTGCAGCATTAGAAGGATATAAGAAATTTCACCCTTAAATAAAGGGTGTTTGGGAGCAACGGGACCGTTTTCCTGAGATCCGTGTGCCGGGGTAAAGAGGAACCCGTGGYGGGCAAGGTCCTGGGGAAGCTGGTGTGTGAGATGTAAATCACTCCTGGCAGTGTCTTTTTGGAGAAATGGAAGGGCGGAAGTATCTTTCGTTTCAGATATTCTTTTTGATTAATGCATCCAGAGCTGCAGATCTTCTGATCCCCATGGCCTTCCTACATTAATAGTGCATAAGTAATTTTCTTGTAGTTGGTTTGTTCCAATTACCGCTTGAAAAACGTGCATTTTGATCTCACGGCTTTGGCACTCATCTAAGAGTTGTTTGCTGCCTGTGTGAAAAAGCAAACTTGGTAATCCTTTCCTATGTGGGTCGGCCTGAGATCTACATCTTCTGTTAAACRTCAGCTTTGCTCCTTTTTTCGGAGAAGCTATAAGAGTTTTATTTATTTAAAAAGACAATATCTTGTGTTAGAGTACAGCTGTTATGTTTGCTTGGTGTGTRTGTGGGGATTCCTCATTTCTTTGTAGGGTTGGAGCCTGACTGCTGCAGCTGGAGACTGGGGATGTTCTGCTTGTTTGGGAGGGACAGGGAGAGGCATTTTGGTGAATTTGTGTTCTTTTTTCAGCCTAAGAACATTTTCCCCCTTTGAGATATTTCCCTTACTCTCTTAGCATCAGTCTCTTCTGCTTATTCTGGTGTCATGAATTCTGTTATTCTCTGCTGCTATTACCGGTTTTTTAATRAGATTTTGCTTTCTCTATTCAGGCCAACTGAAGAGCATTAGATGTATCTTGCGGATATTTTATTGCATTTCCTGCCTTTTTCCACATTAAAATATTTTCACTYTCCAAATATAATATTTTTTTTCTTACCTCTCTGTGAGCTTTTTACTTCACACTTCCCTTTTATTCACTTTGATATCATCTGTTCTATTTTTTGTTCCTTCCAGGGCTGAAGTCTTAAGAGACTCTTCTTTTCTTCTCTGTTATTCTGGTGATACTAGAAAATTGGTCCTATGTGTTTGAAGCAAAAAGCAAGCTTGTTCTTTGTTTCTTGTTTAAAAATACTTCTTCCCTTGCTCATATCCTGGCTATGTGAATTATCTCACCTAGTCTGTCAGCTAAACCTTTTTTTTTTTTYAATTTTTTTAAAATTCATCTAATATGTGCTGGGTTTAAGGAAGCTGATATTATGCAAACATCAGTAGGTGTTCAGTTGTTCCCAGCACAGACGTTTCCCTTCTGTAAAGATCTTGGTCTTGCTTAAAGCTTTATGTGCCCTTGCAGTCCAAATGGTGGATGGCAAATAAGGCAGAGACAGCTGTACGTCAACACAGTGACGTGGTCAGATCCGTTTATTTGCTATTTGGGAGCTGGCTTTAACGGCTAGGGAGCTCTCCATCACTTTTTAGTTTGGTTTTAGGCCTTCTCACTTTTTCCCCCCTTAATTTTCCATTTTTTTTTCTCCGCCTGCTGTTCTGTTCATTTATGGCACTAAGTTGCAGTGTGCAGATGCAGCACACCAGGACTGCTCCAAAAGGGACATGAGAGGCTTTGGGTAATAGCAGCCTTCTCATGCTGGGAATAGAAATGGGCCGGGCTCTGGCAGGCCTCCCGTCTTGGTTCTTGGCTGTACATGTGAAATCTGGTTCACCATCGTTTCAGCTTTTGCTTTTGTCCACTAAAAATGAGGTGTGGTGGAAAAAGCTACATGGAAGACAAAAATAAAGACAGATGTGTACGTCTGATGCACTATATTGCATATACTCTTAGCTACTGATTATACTCAGGTTGTTGCCTGTTGGGAAAGAACACCAGAAATTGCAGGGCATTTCTAGTGACATCTGGGGACTCCTTGAGCTGCATCTGTGGCAGACTGCAGCCTGTGTGTGTGTTCCCTCGCTGCACAGGACTTTTCCTTGGAGCTTCCCAATAAATGCTGGTTTTCAGTTAAATGGAAATTTTCTATTTCAAGCAAAGGCAGCAGTTTACTGTGACTGGAATAGAGTCAGGACAAGGCTTTAATTGAGGTGCAATATCTTTTATTAGACCTCCATGATGTCTAAAACAGTAGTTACAAAAAAATACTGAAATGAGAATTACCTAACATAACATTTTGTTTAATAAGCAACCACATCTTTTAAGTTCTGTCTTGTAGAAGAAAAAAAAAGTTTTCATTAGTTTTATTAGAATAAATTTTACAAAATAAGATGCATAAAAACCTAACGGGTAATTCTTATGTATTTTATACTTTTAAAAAGAATTGTGCATACTCTCTCTCTTTGTGTATATACATAAATATAGTATATTAAAAATGAATAAGCTTTTTTCGCATCGTAAGTTCACAGGGAGGTGAGAGATAAATCAGTTGAGGCTTTTGGGGAAGAAAAAATAGTGCATTCTCCTTTCCTTTTATTTTTATGAAAAAAATAATTCAAAACAAGGCTGGTACAGATGTTTGCAGGGGCTCCTCTCTTTGCAGGAGGGAGGGCTGTTTCCTGGTCTCCTTCTGGCAGCACTGGAGACAGGTGGAGCTGCAAAGAGCGGGGCGGGAGGTGCCARTGGGCCCAAGTGGCTCCATGGAGCTGGGGGGCTGTGTCCCCGAGTGCCCTCGTGTGTGCACACAAGGACAAGCAGCAGCCCCCGAGTGTGTTCAGGCAGCCCTGACCTGTCCGAGGCGAGCTCGAGGCCCCGGGAATAAGCGTGGCCTCCTCCCCTGTCCTAATGGAAGAGCCTCACTATGGCAGCAGAGTCYGAGAATTTGCTTTTGTGCCGAATGAAGGCAAGGAGTCGCTCCTTATTCTCCAGCAGCTCTTTTATGTGTGCTTGGAAATACAGAAGATTACCTAGTGTAAAGAGATGGATACCCTTTGGAAGAGCATTGCAGCTGCAGTGCAAGTTTTCTTTAGAGAATGGATTTTAGTTTGGAGAAAAGAATCCATTACCATTTGTAGCGTTAGGCTGTATTAATAAACCTAGAATGATTATTTTCTAATATTTCTATCCCTGTATTGGAGAAGACATTTTTGAGAAGATTGAGATTTATTTTCTGTGAATGCGTTGTCAATTGCTCTGTATTTTTTGTTGCAGGAGCTAGAGTTAATGCCAAAGACAGCAAATGGTTGACTCCTCTGCACAGAGCTGTGGCATCCTGTAGTGAGGTACGTTTTTAGTTTGGGGGATTTTTTTGACAGTCTCATGTTAAAACAGGATGCGTCAAATGACCCCCCAGTCTTTGTTCAGTTTTTACAAAGTGAAGCTTCTCCAAATGTGTGGGATTCAGCACGCTGGCAACAGTTTGTTTAACTAAATACAAATGCCTAATTATGTAAGTATAGAACATATTGAGGGTACATATCATCTGTCTGAGTAGGAAGAGAGGGAGAAAATGCTAAACCTGCAGTTCTTGTCTTTGCTGTGGAGCTCCTACATTCTGTATTCTGAGCCCTATTATACTTAAGGTAATCAGAATAGCTCAGTGTGCAGAAACTGGAGAGGCAGCAGGATTTAACACAGCTTGTGCAGCCCAATCTTTGAAGTTTTCTGCTTGTTATAGCCTTGTCCCTTCAGGCATTGAGGAAATAAACAGTCCTACAAGGCCCCTGAGCATCTTTATTAAAAGAGCACCAAATCCTAATTTGCACTAACTAGTAATGAAAATAAATGTAAGTGAAATATGTAAAAACAGTGGGTTTTGTAGACTGTCAATAATGTAATTAAAAGAACATAGTAATAAAAGAGATGAATTTATCATTCCTGTATCACTCATGCCTTAATCAGAATTCTAAATGCCCAGAGAAATCAAAAACAAATACAGAAATGCTGAATTTGCTATTGAGTTTATGCAAATAGTATGATTCAAAAAATAATTTGAATTTTTTTTTTAGAGAGAGAGTCTGTAAATTTGTGGAAGGAAGAGGAAATTGAACCTTTTTAAACAACCTTGTTTTCATTTCATTTGCCTTTGAATTTGGGCATGTTGTATTATTTTTCCAGTAGCATTAGTAGCAAGTGATACGGAGATCATGTAATTCAAAAAGGTGTTTGCAAGCAAATCTCCAAGGCTGCTTTATTCTCAAATTCCATTTATTCCTTCCGAGGTAGTTCAGGCTGCTCCCGTGGGAGGTGACTGAAGCACCAAATTCTGCCTKCGCCGGAGCCCTGGGACTGTGAGAGCTCATTGGAACAGGAAAGCTCACAGGGAAGAGCGCTGCAGGCACAAAATGTGTCCGTATACCTACAAGAAATGTAGCCATGCCCTTAAAAACCAAAAGCAAACAAAACATGTAAAATAGTCGAGGTATTTGTCTTAAAAGCAACGATAGGGGCATGCCGGAATTCTCTGTTTCCAAACATGGCAAGTCATTGGAGGCCATGCAGGGAGGTGGCAGGGTGCTTGCTGCGAGCAGGTGACACGCTTTGGCCACTGACCAAAACCCACTGGTTTAGGCTTTAGATGAAAAAGCTGTCACAAAAGGGTTCTTGATAAGGGCTTCAGCACGTGTAACATACCTGGAGTTACCCTTGAAGCAAGGGCAGCTGCAATCAGGCAAGGGCATAACTTAGAAGTAGCTGGAATTACGGATTTTGCTCCTCTTTGTTCTTTACATTTGTGTGCCTGCTGTGTGTTGCAAAAATCAGACAGAAAGGAAGCTGCTTCACTGATTTTTGAAATCCATTTTGTGCATGTACATAGAAGAATATATGATTATTTATATAGTAATGCTACAGTGCTTCCTTCTAAAAGTGAAATGATGGTTCTTCCAAAATTTTCTTGTTCTAATGGTAATTTTCCTAGTGTTTAGTTAAAAAAAAACAGTTAAAAATATTGATCAGATTTTAAAATATTGAATCTACTTAGGATTCTCATAGAATGGAAGCTATTTCATTTCTCATTTAAATCACAAGTTACTGAGAGAGCATTTTCACTTTTATGCTTTTTTTTATGCAGAAGAAATTATCACGTTCGTATTGTAGTCCCAACAATGAATGTGCTCCGGTGTTTTATGTTCTGTTTGTGAGGGAGAGTGATGCTTTGCTCTTGCACCYCCTGGCAATTCGAGATACCCAGGAACTGCTTGTGTGCTTAAAGCACCAGCAGGTTGTTTTTGTGCCCTGTGTTTGAGCTCTCTATATCAGCAGCACATCACTTTGTGCTGCTCTGGCTCTCTCAGTGCACGCTGAATRAGCTCTCCGTGCCTTTGTGACACTTCTGGCCTCTGACAGTAAAAATAAGTGCTTGACAAACTGAGGAAAATGGATTGTAAGTTCAAATCCGCTAATCCATAGCAGTGGAAGAAATCCTGGGGAGCTTCACTGAGCTTTGGGAGTTAGGTATAATGGCAAAACAACTCACCAATCTGTGCAAGGAACTTGAAACCGGACCTGGAAGTGGTTGGCTCCCTTGAATCCATGACTGATTGTCATTTGTATCGCCCCTATCCCTGAGAACATTCCCAAGTCCGGCTGTGTGATAAACTACACATCTCAAAACACAAAAATACCATTTTAAAAAGTAAAAGGTAGTTAAATTCCGATATGTTGTAAGTGGATTTAAGGCATAGAAAGCATTTTAAATCTTTACTGAAGTAGCTTGTTCTTTTTGTGAATCTTTCCAGGATGCTGTTCAGGTGTTGTTGAAACATTCAGCGGACGTCAACGCTCGTGATAAAAACTGGCAGACCCCCCTGCATATAGCAGCTGCAAATAAAGCTGTGAAATGTGCTGAAGCTCTGGTGCCTCTCCTAAGCAATGTAAATGTGTCCGATCGAGCAGGTAGAACTGCTCTGCATCAYGCAGCCTTCAGTGGGCACGTTGAGGTACGTGTCATTTTGCTTAGCTTGTTTCACAGCCATCATTCTGTCCACTCTACTRTTTGATTTAAGGTTAAGGTAAAAATCAAATTGTCTTTCCTGCCACCCACCAAGGARAACAAATCTCTATTTCACATTTGATTTTTCCTTTTGTATGGATCTGTGTATAGTTTGATAGCAGAAAACATACATTGCAGCATTTAGTTGGAAGGTCATTACAGTGTTCCCCTTTTCTACACATATGTGTGAGCTAGCTGGAGTTCACACTAGTAGAGGATACATCTAAAACAAATAAGGCATTTTTCTGTCCAGTAGACAATGAACATACAGCATTTGTTGCCTATGAAAGTGGAGGAAATATATATTATAAACCAAAACTCACTAGTTATTAAGCCCCCAATAAGTAAGCCCTGAAAAAATCCCATTCCCGTTGTTATTGTGTGTGTGTATATATAATTGGAGACAAATTGGCAGTAGGCTTGTGTTTCCTGATTACCTTTAGTGCATCCCTTAATAAAAACCTAKTGATCTCAGATATCCTACAGCTTTGCCATATTTTAGCTTAGAAATGTTTTTGTTTCRTTAGAGTTTTGCATTTATCAGTCAATTCATTAGTGCCACCACTGCGGTCAGCTAATTTATKTAAACATTCAGAATATTTAAAGCCAGACTAAATAGAAGTGTTTTAAATGGATTCAGTTATATTTGTTTTCTCCTGTGTGATTTTCTTTGCTAATTTTAAATCATTTTTCAGTACGAATGGATTGTTTTTCTTTCCTTCTAACTCAGATGGTCAGCTTGTTGTTGTCTAGAGGGGCCAATATTAATGCATTTGACAAGAAGGACAGACGAGCTATACACTGGGCAGCCTATATGGGTATGTACATATTTGCAGTTGATTATTGTGATATTAAAAAAAAAAGAAAGAAAAATAAAAAAGACTGAAAGATTATTAGTTTTATGCCTTTCTAAGAACAATATTTACATTTAAATTTTGAGGTTATCTGTGTATCTGTCAGGAAAGCATTAGCAGTGTGCTTCAGATTGCCTTGTTAATGTGTTTTTGTGGTGGGAAAATCAACGTGTTAATTCACTTGAAAAAAGAAAACCAAGGGAAAGAATTTTATTCTTTAAGAGACACGTTCCYAGCTCAGCAGAAGTCTAATGTTAGCTGAAAACTTTTGCAATAAAGCTAAATAACTCCTAGGGGAGCTGAGTGAAGAGAAAACAGATACAAAGGACACCTTGGTAAGAGGATGGTGATGCCAGCCAGGGAGATTGTATTTGAACAGAAAGCTGTATCAATTCTAAGCATTGCAATTCTTGGCTTGCCACTATTGTGCAGGAGCTCGTGGCTGGCTTTCTCGCGGCAYTTTTTGATGTGCTGGCACTACTGTCAGAATGATATGCTTGCTTAGATGCACTGTGTGTCAAGTTTTCATTATATTAAGTAGTAGGAATTGCTTTCCTCAGCATAGCTGTGCCAAACAACCGCTTTTGTATCCCAAGCCTCCTAGAAAATAGAGCGCTGCAAGGCGGGTGGCAGGAGGGGCGGATGGGGAATCCGGGTTGGTGCTGACGGACACCTCTGCGCTGTGGCCCATCGTCCGCTTCGGGCATTCCCATGGAGCTGCTGATTGCACTTGTCCTTACAGAGCGTGCTGCAGCGGTTCGGAAGCTAAAACTTCTCACAGTGCCTCTTTTACCTCTAGTGCAGATTATATAGTGCCTGCATGATGTTCTCCATTAGCATAAAACACTTCTAATTACCAGAGCATGGCACCGGTCTAAAAAATCTTTCCTCTGGTTTGGGTGTAAAGAGTTAGTGGCAATGGCCTGACCTCCATGCAGTAGCAGGGCATATACTTTCAGAAAATGTCTAAAAAGACACTTCAACATGTGTAACTGATACTGAARCTTAGCTGCTCACTGCTGATTTGTGATACCTACTTTGGGAAAATGCCAGTTGAAAAAAGGCGGTTCCATTGCCTAGGTTATTGTGCAGACTGTAGCTTCCTGCCTCATGGTTTTATCCAGGGAGAGAAGAATAGAAACACATATGAGCATTGTGTGGTCTGTATGCCTGGGAATTTCTTCTAAGACAAAATGTGGTATAAGGACCCRGCAGTGATCTGTTGTTCCTGTGGTTATGTTTTGAGCTTCTACACTTACTTTGCTTGTAGCATCCTAGATGTAAAACTCCCTGGCAAATACATAGCTATAGACCTAAATACCATCTTATGGAAATGAGTTTAGGAAAAGAGGGTGATCCTGTTCTTTACAGCAGCTTCTCTGCACRRTTGATCAAAAGGAGTGAACATTTTGTTGAAATTACTGTAACAGAGAAATGCTTTTTGGAAGCGAAAGCCTTTTGCTATTAATTAAAAGGGAACTCGTTGAATTTCTGACAAATACTAACTTAATGCATGAAGCAAATAATTCCGATACTGGCTCTTCCCAGAGTAAAACAAACTGATTTGGCTATATTTGGTATCAAACCAAAAAGATTAATAACCTATCAACAAAGGATATTTGGATTCCTTACATTGCCTTTAGGCATAGAAAAGCAATTTCTGCACTAACCCCAGAGATACTACTCTAAATTAAGATTACTTCAAACAGAGCTTGGAAAAGGAGAAAAATATATCCTTAAACATTTTTATCACTAGATTCTGAATGTGTTTTTCCCCCAGAAAGAAAGAAATGAGACTGTGCATACRTATCCTTGGTTTTTAAAAGTTACGCTTAGGATAAGTATCTTAGGCAAAAAGTTTCTCAATATGTAGTTTTGCATTAATAGTTATTATTATAAATCAGACAATTGCTTATAAATACAGATAATGTGCCGCAATGTGTCTGTGTGGTAGGGGATTTTTTGTCTTAAAAATAGATTTAAGTGTTGTTAATTAAACAAATTTCTTACATGTGGTTAAAAAAGTGGTGGCTTTGAGTCTTGTAACTGCAGTGTTTCCCTATCTTGCCATGTAACAGCAAATGGAAGCAATAATTTCAAAGGGAAAATGTGATTTTAATCTTATCTACTGAGCAATACTTGAGGGAAAGGGCAGCAAAATGTGTGTATTAACTTCTCTTTTTAACATTTTCTCTCAGCAAAATGGTTTCAGTGGGCTGCTGCTGAGTTGTGCTTTGTAGGAAATGTGCTGTGGTCTGAGGCCTGAAAATTGTGGCCTTTACAACTGCACAAACCTGTGTTTGCAAAATTGGGCCTGTTTGTTAGGTCTTAATAGTAGTAAAAGGGATCTGCTGACAAAGCTGGATTCACACAAAAGTCRAATTACGAACTGCTCTCTTTGCAGAAGAAATCTTGGCCCTCTCGCACTTTAAAGCCATGTTACACTGCTCTAGCTCTTTGAAGACAACTTTAAAGCACTCCCATTGTGTAAAACGGCCCGCAGAAGAAGAAGAAAAAAGTTATGCCCTTAGTCACTCTGCTATAAATACCGTTATAGGATTATAGCCATTGTTCCCCTTCCTTCCTTCCTGCGTTTCTCCGGGCTCCGTTGCGGCGCGGCCGCGGTGCGCGGTGCCGCTGCAATGGGCTGTCCCTCCCGGGGCGGTTTGCGCGGCCCCGGCCGCTGCGCGAGGGCTCCCGAGTGCTCCCGGCCCGAAGCGCCTCGCTCTGCCCCTTGGGYGCCGTCCACTCATCGCTGCTTGCGGTTTAACTGCAGGTCAGGGGGTTGTTTGGTTGTGTGTGCTTTGCTTTAACTTTTTCTCTTTGTTTTTTGAAACTGCCCTGTTATCCCTTCCTCCTACTGCTTTCAGTATCTTTCCGCTTTTACCTTCCTTAGGGCTGGTTTTTGTTCTTTTCCCCTCTAATGGTTGGGTCGTATCATGAATAATCTTGTTTAAACTGTTCTTCCTCTTTCTCTCCTGCGATAACCAAGTACTTCAGAAGTGAAATACTGCAGCACTTGGCACTGCAGCCGTCAGCTCCGCTCGCTTCTCCTCCGCAGGGCCGTGTGAAGGGGCATGGCGTGTTTTGGGGGGCACGCAGCATCCAACATGTCCCATGCTGTCTGCACGGCTGTTCAAACAGCTTTTTGTGCACCGCTTTGTGCCGAGTGGGCAGATCCTATCCGGGCTTTTGTCCCTTTTCAATTGCAGAAAAAGCAAAGTCTTAGACTTTTATAAACTCTGAAGTACCACGTATCAAATCCAGCCTTGCAGTTGAGACTGAGTGATTAAACATAAATCCTCAGTGGCTCCCACCACCTGGTTACCCGAGGTAGTGTTGCTTGAAGGGTAGAGCCCCCATCTCTGTGTGAGGGAGCCGCACGGAAGGCGCCGCGGGCCGCTGCGCTCCGGCTTCGTTATTCACCCACCCTGCCTTTGGTCACAGCTATCCCTCTGGCATACGCTCCGGCAACTTCAGCTGCCGCTTTGGGAGTTCAGTTGAAATCTGAGGAAGAATGAAAAAAAATTCCTCATTTTCGCAAATAGATGAGTTCCCACCATGGCGACTGCCTGAGAGCTGGTGCTGCAGGCACAGTCAGAGGGAGGGCTGGCTCTCCCTCTCCCACAGAARAGCCTGTGCTAAGTGCCCTAGAGCAGTCCCAAAGTTGCGTGGGAGACTGGCTGTCCCATGGGATGTGCTGCCCTCTCTTCCCTTTTTCCCTCTTCTCTTGGGGATCTTCTTGTAACTCATCCCCTCAGCCTCCTGTTTTGGTATTTTTAACTCCTACCCTCCCAGTAACTTTGGAGAGTAGTTGCCTGTGGTTCCTATATAAAGTTTTTGTATAAAGTTTTGTTTGTATGAAGTTTTTAAAGTTGTGCAAGTGTTATTTGTATGACGTTTCGAAAGTTGTGCAAGTAAAGGAAAATGCACATTCCGGAACCTGAAAGTCAAATTCTTCCTCACATTTTTAACAGAAAATTGTAGCAAACGTTTAGTACCTGCAAAGTTGTGTCACCTCACCAGGTCTCAAATCTTACAAAAAATCCTTCCGTGAGCAGAAGACAAGGTTTTTTAAATTGTTTTTCCAGTAGAAGGACTGTGGTTATTGGAATCATTTTTCCATGTGGAAATACTTTCTTCTGGAGACTTCATGAAAAAAAATAGGAAAAAAATAGAATTCTCTMTTTTCTACATTGAGTTCAAATGAATAACATCTGTTCATTTTTTAATAATTGTACAATTCCTAATTTTGTAAATTTGTTCTAGTTAGTCTAAAAAGCAGCTTCATGTCACTGTATTTATCGTTTCAGGTCACATTGAAGTTGTGAAACTCCTTGTGGCCCATGGAGCCGAGGTAACATGCAAAGACAAGAAATCCTACACACCCCTGCATGCTGCAGCGTCTAGTGGGATGATCAGTGTGGTCAAGTATCTTCTAGATCTGGGAGTTGATGTAAGGACAGATGAAATCAAGCAATATATTTCTTTCATTACTTTGTTTTTGAAATACGATTATTAGTATTATAGTACAGTGTTTATGATTTTTTAATAGTAGCATAGAATATATTTTGGAGTATCTTCATTCACTATCCTTATTTTCAATTTTAAAGCTTCATTTCCCAAAATAACTTGAGAGTTTTGCAGATTTTTATTTGATTAAAAATGTATACTTAGTAGTTTCTTTGTTCCTTTGTAATGATTTTTCTCATAGAGCTCAGGAAATAGGAATTCCGTTCTTAGCTTTGCTATACACATCCTAGTTGACCTGCAGGAAATTAAACTCTTTTTGCCTCAGTTCTTTGTACAATGTAATTGTTACTGACTTGCCGACATCATATTAGTTCTGGACAATATTCTAGTTTATGGGAAATTTTAATACTATAGTAAGAAAATGCAAAATAAACTAAAAGTCTGTGTTGTACTTTTGCATGGAAAATATGCTAGAGAACTTTGAAACTGTCTAAGAAATGTATCTTGTGCATCCAAAATTTCTGTTAAACTCAGAAGAACCTGCAGGTCTTTTAACATGAGTGTTCTGTGAAGCTAAACACTTCATTACAGGAAAGTGGTGTGGAGGCAACTGGAGTGAAGCTTTCTTTGTTAGGCTTATCCACATGGGAATTAATCTACTTTGTCTTTTGGAGAAYGAGGAATCCAGAATTCCTTGTGTAAATACTGGCAAAAAGTAAGGGATCTCAGCACCAGAAGAATGGATCCACTCACCCYGAGGGAAGAACAACAACAGTTTTAGTAATTAAAAACATTAAAAACATAGTGTTGAATGTGGAACAGAGTATAGGTCCTGATTTAGGAAATGCAGAGGGGATGGATTTAATCTTGGGAATACCGGGTATAGAGACAGATGATACAAGTGGCAAACCAGAGAAGACCATTCAGGGATGAACCCTTCAGCATGGTGTAAAGAGACCAAAGCCATATGCCAAAAAAAAAAAAAAAAGGGAATGCGGAGGAAAGAATTTTTAGTCTCTAGCTTGAGAGAACTCTCATATGGTTAGAAAAGTGGTGGGAAAAGTGAGAATGAAACCTGAAGAGGATCTCTAAAAATGGATTAGAGGAGGCTTAAGCAGAGGGAGGGAGGATAAAAAAAAATGTGTAGTTTGTCCATAGAACCATTGAAGGCAATAATTCTCCGCTATGATTTTTTTACTATCTACTCAAATATAGAAAGTTATGTGCTTGCCACAGCATCACAGTATCCTGAAGTATTTCGGGGCTTAAAGGTTAGATATGTGAAGCCAACTGCAGAGGTGTCAAAACTTCATTTAAGAAATGTTCCTTTCTCACAACCAGAAGAGGCAGTACCACATACAGATACATTAAGATCATTACTTCGGTTCTCCCAGAGGAAAAACAAAACTCTTATGTAATACTTAATCGAAGAATTTCATCCGGAACTTGCATTTAATTGCTGCTTTTGAAGAGTCCTAGAACATAATGAAGAAATTGTGTCTCATGATGACTTTTTTTTTCTGGTGATAATTAGTGCTGCAGGAACACGGGCGTGTTTTAGCTAACTAATCTCGTGGGTTTTTTTTCTCTGACAGATGAATGAACCAAATGCCTACGGAAATACCCCCTTACATGTAGCTTGCTACAATGGGCAAGATGTTGTAGTGAATGAACTCATAGACTGYGGTGCTAATGTAAATCAAATGAACGAGAAGGGTTTCACACCTTTGCACTTTGCTGCTGCATCGACACACGGCGCGTTGTGCTTAGAACTTCTGGTCTGCAACGGAGCAGATGTAAATATGAAGGTAGGTGGATGCAGAGCCACCCGTTCACTCGTGAAGAGAGGGATATCATCGTTGTCAGAGGCAGCTTATCACAGGTGTTAGTGCAGTAACATTTAGAAGTCGCTCCTGGGATTGCAGAGTACTTCTCTGGAAGGTGTTACCGTAAAAATATGGCAGCACGTTGCTTCAGGGAACAGTCTGAGTCTGAAATGTCTCAATGGGATGTAGTAAATAGTCCAAAGGGATAGAGAGGAAAAATCAAACTACTATCCAGTTCTTCTTGACTGTGTTTAAGTATGCAAGTCCACATCATCTTGTCTTCCTGATTTGCCCATCTCAGTAAGAGAAAATGAGAAGGATGCATTCAAAAGAACATGTGTTTCTCCTATAAATGAGCAGCATAAAATAAATCATATACATTTCTCTAAAATATCTCTGAGCAGGCTAATTTCTGGATCAACTAAAGACGTGGTACACAAGATTATAAAATCCAATAAAGAGCAGGGGATGGTTAAACAGCTGGATTTGGACTTGTCTCCAGTAACACYTTGTGAGCAGAGTGTGCAGACTTGTCAACATCTCCGCTTGGTCACAAGTGTTTTGCTGCATAATATTGCCCAGAATCTAGTTTTAGTTTAGATAGAGTTTCTAATCCACATAGGCGTAAAACCAAGTTATAACATAAATACTGTATTTACTTCTTGTGTGTGTAACATAAGGTCTTGAAAACTGTAAAGGAGGTGTGAAAAGTTGTTATGAAGTTAACTTTTGCTTTAGTAATGAAGCCATCAACTTTGTTCAAAAATATTCAGTGTCAATGTCTGGTGTCATGACAGGCTGAAGACATTGGGAAATGGGTATGTGAAAACAAAGGTTYGGGTTGCTCTTGCTCTCTAGTTGTCAGTACAGTTTGTGGTAGGAAGAAAAGTACCCATGGGGGGATTCTTGTTGTCTGGCTGTGTTCTGTCTTAATTTCAACGCAACTTGGGTAAGAGATGACTATAAACAGTTTGTGGCTCACTTTTTGTGGCTTTACACTGATCTTCATCTAATTCTAAAATGCAATTAAATGTTTATTATTAGTACACAATCTGTACCCCACTGAAAATTTGGGAGTGATTTAAAAACATTAAAATATACCATTGATTATGTTACATACACAAATAAAAGGAAAAGCATAAATACCAATATTAATAAATGAAGAATTACTTTTACCCTGGTTACAGACTGCAGAGGATTCTTTATATCTGCTGCTGCTGCTGCAAACTTGAACCTTAACTGATGTAGAAAATGAGTGAGAAGGAGTTCACTTTAGAAAGATATTTAGAAAATAGTAGGAGGGATTCAAGATAATCATTTTTAAATATACTGTAACTGGAGATAAGGAGTAAAAATTGGAAGTATCCACCATTCTATCAAATATTCTGTACTATAATCTTTAGGTCTGAACTCAAGAATCTTTTAACCATGTTGTACACTGTTTGATGTACACTGTAGATATTGACGAAATCTAGTCAGTTATAGCTATAAATAACCTCAGAAATTCTGCAAAGAATGGCTAATGCTTTACAGTATGACAGAAGATGCTCCTCAGTTTAGAGGTTCATCATGTGGATGACCTGTCAGAGGTGACATGAGATGATTTGACACCAGGGAGATACTGGGGCCTTCCTTCCCGTTTGCTTTTGAATTTTGAGAGCCAAAGCATAGCATTGGACAGTTTCTAAAATTAAAAATGAGAAGATTTAATATGGATTAACCAAGTTCTCCTCCTCATCTTATTTTGAGACAGCAGAATCATTTTTATTGAAACTTGACGGTGAGAAAGCTGGAAAATCCAGCGTGAAGCTGAGAAGTTCAGGTGAAATCTCTTAAGAGCCTGGTAAAGATTTAGCTGCTTATGCCATGAAGAYGTGTACTTCATAAAGAAATATCTATACAGTGGAAAGGATTAGCAGCCTTAACTATAGGCTACCTGTAATTAAAACATGTGGAGCTACTAAGTATCAAAAGTATTAACTGCAAAATGAAGAAAGCTAGGTTATGAAGGGGAAAGAATTACAACTTGAAATGATAATTTRTTCCTTCTGTGGACATAAGCATAGTTCTCTATTGTAATTCAGTTGATGGGCTTTTCTCTGTATTTATGGTGGTGTAACTAAGATAAAAATAGAGGCCTGAAGGGGTGAATAACTTTCTTGTATATGAAAACTTAAGCAGCTCTGTTTTTGCAAAGTGCAGGACCTACAGCTAAAAAAAAACCCTTTTCCAAGTCAGCTTTTGCTCACAGAAAAGGCCTTCAAAGAGAAACCTTAAGTGAAGAATAGAGTCCATAACAGGATAGGAAAGTAAATTGAGTTTAGAGTCTGTTGCTTGACTAATAATTTGGAGCATTCAAATGAATGTTTCTCTTTCAGCGCCTTCGTGCTCAGTACGTAGGGAAATGGAGCTGTGCTCAGTTTTCACCTGCTGAGGCCGAAGTTCAGGTTCAGTGAAGTTCTTACAAGTGTCACAAACCAGCAAATTGCAGCATTTACCCATTCATCAAAATTTTACTGCTTGTGTCATCCGATCCAGTAGTTGGTAGTTGTGCCCCAGCTGCGGCCGTGTCTGTGATAATCAAGCAGGTTGCAGTCKTGGTGCAGGCTAGAGGACACTGTCAGAGCACTCTCTGCTGGAGATAACCCAGCTGGGAAAGCAGAAGATCACAGTCCAAATCTTACTCTTGCTGACAGATGGAGGGTAAGTGCTTGGGCATATCTGTGGTTGTTGGCTTCCTCTCAGGAGGGAAAATGTGGCAGGAGATAATGGAACAATAGAAGTGCTGGACTTAGGAAAGTGCTGTGTTGTTCTCAGCCTTGCTGTTACAGCTTGGTCCGAATTAATGCAGTCCTGCAGAGCAGTAACTCTCTATTAGGTACCACTAGCTACTGCAGTGGCCCTTCTCACCATTCAGCTTTTCCATGTGTAGAAGAACACGTAGAAATAAGTAGGTAATGAGACACCTTGGTGCTTGATAATTAAGTGACCTAAATCAAAACATATTTTGCTTCCATTTGTGACACTGGAACAATGGAATTGTTGTTGGAGAARGTCTTACTTGGAGGATAATTTGTTAAAAATGTGAATAAAACATTTTATTATGTAGGGTCAGGGTCAGCTGCATTGCCCCCGACCCTGCGTAATAAAACTCCGCAGTTGAAACACGGTTAGTGTCCAAGTGCTTGCTTAGTGGTGGATCTCAAATACAAGACTAATGGTTAGCCCGAAGACGCTGCCTCATCTCATGTAGTATCTGGCAGATGTAGATACATATTTAGATGGAATGTAGAAATGTAGATTCATATTTAGATGGAACATCTTAAATGCAGAATAAAAGGAAATGGGAACAAAAATCTTAAAGAGACCTTGGTTATGCTGCCCAACCTTCTGCTTCCGCAGGAAACTCACAGCTCTTTTGTTCAATGTATTGTTGCCCTTGAAGCCCTGTTGCTTCAAGGCTTAAGAAAGCGATGACAAATAATCAGCTCCCTTAGAGTCTTGAGAAATCTGCACTGCATGTATGTAAGGAGATTTGAGCAGAGTGAATCTGCAAATCTGTTTTTATTGATTGTACTCCTGTTTTTCATTTACATTAGTGGTGGTGATTTTGATTTTACTGTCCTGTGCAAGGTCTTGCTCAAATGACTTTGAGGGTTCTCAGTTCACCATTACACTAAGTTTTTAAGACTGTCATTTTAGGTTATTCTTAATGTCCTTGTGATGTCCATTATTAATGCATCCAGTGATGCTTGTATCCACTGTTTTTTTTGCTTCTTTCTGTTTATTAGCTTCCTTTGTTTGAGGTGCAGATTTAGCACCTCTACACCAGTGAGATTGCAAGTTTTGTCTTAAATTCTTCTCCCACTTGTTGCCTTTGTTAATTTAATTCCTTACTTCCTCAAAGTTTTCCCTTTCTAAATCTATGACATTAACTATCAAATTAGGCTTTTGGTCACTTCCTCAAAGTAAACTGTTCTTATACAACCATTTTTCTTTGGACTAGTTGTTTCTTTAACTTAAAGACAAAGTGAGGGGGGAAAAAAGGACTTTTAATGGAAGAGAATAATTAAACATGTAGAGTATTAACGGTTGGGGAAAAACAGTGGAATTGCAGAGAGAAAGTTAAAGGGCAGACATTATGAGAAAGTTCTGTCTGTATGGAAGAGAGCATAGAGATTATTTGGGGAAGTTATATCATTTGTGATTTGTGCTTATTCAGACTTTTTTTTTTAAAGACTTCCAGTGACAGAAGCTCTTGAAATTAAATCCTACTGTCTGACTTCTCAAGTGCATTTCAGCCCTTTTTGGTGTTTCTTTGTTGCTGTTATGGATACTTGGGTGTGTCTTTTCATCTGTTAACTATTGAGGAAATCTGTTAGCTAAAAGATCAGGAGATAMCTGGGCTATTGTTATCGAGTGTTTTATTTCATAAGTCTACACTTCAGAAGTCCATATCCCAAATTTTATTACYGAGGTAGTAGTAGTGGCTCTCTGCAGTGCCATCTCTGCAGTTTCCACTACCATCTTTGGTTTTTTTTCTTTTTCTTTTTAAACTTTGATTTTTCTGGACAATTTATTCCCCTCAAAGTCGATGTTTAAATGCAAGGATGTGGCATGCATGTGCATCTGAGAGTGCTTTTATTTTCTGAGTGCCATATTTGCTTTTATTTTGTGCACGTTTGTAAAAACTTTTCAGCAGGAAAGCTTTCCTGTGATAAACTATATAACCAAATTTCACCCCAAAGCAATAATCGTAAGAAAAACTGACCTTTTAAAGTGCATTTACATGGTGCTATTAAAAACTGAATTCCGCTCATGTGCTGCTGTTGGCTTCCTTGGAGGGTGCCTGTCCTGAGTGAAGGGGTAAGTGCCCAATAGGTGTGTGTGCCAAGTGTAGAACACCCCATGTGGTTGAAGAGTTGCACCTAAGCATCACTGGTGCTTCATGATAAATTACTCATTAAGTGTCACTTTGAAGACATTTCAGTGAAACACCTGAGATTTTGAATGTGTTGTCTTCTAATACGACTTAGAAACCTCAATAATAAATGCAGCTGCTTTCTCTTAGCAAAGAATCTCTGTTTTTTGTTATTTCCCTGTTGTATTCTGGCCAGGGGGACAGAGCTGGGCCTAGGCTTGCTCCTCGGCTTGCTGCTGAGGGTGTTTGCTGCCCTCRGCCTGCAGGCAGGTGTCGGGGGGAACATGCATCTTGAGCTGTCACCCACAGCTCCAGGAGCCATTGAGAGCAGCCAGGTGGCTCTTTTGAACAGCCTGTCCCCTCCTGCTGACTCGTCCCTGCCAGCCCCCTCCTTGCAGGAGTGGGTATAAGGGAGAGCAGAAGCGGGTGGTTGGTTGTCCCGTTCCGACAGGTGGCTGTTGCTGGCCAYGAGTAAAGCCTTTTGCTGTCCTTCATTTCCAGAGTAAAGATGGGAAGACACCTTTGCACATGACAGCAATCCACGGTAGATTTTCAAGATCTCAGACCATCATTCAAAACGGTAAGCAGGGGAAGGGAGTAGTTGTTATCATCATTCCAACACTAGAAATCATTTCTTCCTCTTGCATTGATACCAATGTACTGTAAGTTTGGGGTTTTTTTTTTAAATTTGATGTCCAGTAGTTAAATTAATGGTGGARTCTGATATGCCTGCCTAGATACTTTGATAAATTGCATCAAAGAATGTTTATTTTTCAGAATGGGTAATTTTTCAGAATGGGAAAGGGTATTAATTTTTCTTCTGTAACCCAGGTCGCAGAAAGTTTTCCCATGTAAGTACATAAGAAAATATCTCTCTCAGTTTGCTAGCTGTTATGCTAACTAACACTTAAAACATTGTAAATTAAATAGCCAGAATAGCTGTTTATGGTCATTTGCTGATATTACTCAAATCATCATTGTCATTTTTCTAACAAAAGCACGTATACCTTCTGTATATTCTCACTAACAATTATTTTTTATTATAGGAGCTGAAATAGACTGTGAAGATAAGAATGGAAATACTCCTTTGCACATAGCAGCTAGATACGGCCATGAGCTATTAATCAACACGTTGATTACAAGTGGTGCTGACACTGCAAAGTAGGTAACATTTACTGGCACAAGTGCAAGTTGAGAGAATTTAGARCTGTATTTATTAGGCTAACAAGACTACTGTAATTTTGTATATGTTCTTAAGCTTGAGGTGCTGAATGTTTTCTATATTTATCTAATGCTATACTTCTAAATAACTATACAGTACATGGCAATTGATACTGAAAAGATAATTACCTTTCCTTTAAAATGAGTATATTTGAAATAAAAGCTCTGAAGCCTTTAATTGAGCACAGCTCTGAATTAATGCATCCCGTCTAGTTTGCAAGAAAACTCTTAATATGTGAGGAGCTTTCCTCGGGCTAATTATCCTGATTAATTTGGTGAGCCCACCATGCACATGCACTTTGGCATAAAATTTTGTTTGTTTTATCTTTATTGTAACGAAGCTGTGATACCTGATTATGGTGTATCTTAGGCGGGGTATACATGGGATGTTTCCTCTCCATTTGGCAGCATTAAGTGGATTTTCAGACTGCTGCAGAAAGCTGCTTTCATCAGGTAAGGTACTATTTAAAATCTTAGGCCTGCTTTATACGTTTTTTTTTGTTTACTCCCTAGAGTAGCTTTTAATTAAATTTTAATTTAGAGTCATGTGAAAATCTTCAGAGTTTTCTAGTAGCCTGGGGACAGTGCTCATTAACAGACTCTCTGTGGTTAAGTGAATGCAAACTTTTACAGGCATAATCTTTTTGTAAAAGAAAGTCCCCCAAATTGAAGCAATGTATCTGTATTTTTTCAGTGTTGTGCTTGTAAATGTTAAGGTGCCCAAAGGGGGAACATGTCTGGCTCAGACCACAGTGTAATCTCAAAGAGAAGAACTTTAATGTTCCTACTATGACCTTGCAGCATCCTCCTCCTCTCTTCCAAGATGCCTTGAAGACAGCACAACTTGGTCTGGTTCTATCATGTACAGCCCAATAGCTGTGAAGACCCTGTGTGCTGTGGCATTAGGAATTGCTGCATTTGTGCTTTATTGTGAATTAATTAAGCAATTCAAGCCACACACTGTTTTCAGTGTTGGATTTGTTCCATTACATAGAGGGAGGTTGGTCAGTTATTACTTGCCTACTAGGTTCTGCCTAGTAATCTGTATTTAGTCATCTAGTAATCCGTGTGCACTCCAAGAGGGATTTTAAAATATTTARGGAGTGCATAAGGGAAACTTTACAGGATAAAAATAGAATAATCCTTTTTCTGATTTCTGCTTATGCCTTAAGGCATAGCAGTTTTGCTAAAGTCCTTATGGGCTGGTGCACTGTGCTGCTTTTGTTATTTATCTGATATCTGATCCTGTTGAACTTTTCAAAGTTCTTGGCTTCAGTGACACCTATAGAAATGCACCGAGTTCAGTGGCTTAATTTTGTGCTGTTTTCCCTCAGGTATTTGAATGCAATGCAGTGTAAAAGCCACGTACCTTATGTATTGCCTTGGTTGCTTTGGCAGGCACTACCCTGTCCCTCACTGTGTTTAGTGACTCGGTGTTTGGGGATCATATTGTCAGATTTGGATCAAATGCTTGCTTGACTCCAAATAATTTGGAGGGAAGGGCATGGGATGGTGTCAGGGAAGAAGCTTTATTTGCTGAGACCATTTCACAGGGAGCATGAACTCAATATGTGCTCAGCCTTTCTTAACATGAAAGTGCTTCCAGTTGCTTTGATTTATTATTCCTTTTTCTCCATGGAACTGGTGCTAAGTTCCACAGGGAAAGTAAGTTGTCTTTTTCCTGGTGTGTCTTACAGTTCAGGCATAACCTTCATAAACTGCCTATTTGCAGCGCACCAGGTACAGAATCATTTAGGGTGCAGTGAATGGGAACATACGTGGATGCTAAATGATATAAAAATATTTAAGAAATCCCCTCCATTTGGAAGAGGGGAGGGAGAATTGTCCTAAATAGTACAGTTTGTCKGAGAAAGAGTTTTTCATTTGATTGTATAGGCTTTACCTACTGCTTTTTACTGCTTCATTTTCTTGAGATATCTTTGTTTTATGCACAAAGGCAAGATTGACTAGTTAGACTATTGATTAGTTTTCAGTTATTTAGGTATTAATGTATGGTTTTAAGGATGATCTTTTTAGCAGGAATGCCAGAGCAAAGTTTAGACTTCTATAGTAACCTTAGCTATAGATACCAATACTGTCAAATAGTTGACTTCAATATTTGCAATATTTATGATCTCAATTTTTTTTTTTTTTTTTTTTGAGAAAACGGTGATATTCTCTGATGGGTTCCCCTATAAGTAATTGCTGTTTGCAGCCTTTATTCCACTTCAACCAAATTTGTTGCTTGGGACTAGAGAGCTAAAGTAAAAGATGGAATTTCAGTGGTTTCTAGATTTAGTAATGCTGTCATCCCTCTCCTCATGTAAAGAAAACAGCTGTTCAGAATGCTGAATGATAAAGTGAATAATTCTGGCTTATTCTTAAATTGTCATATTGCTTTCATATATTTTTATATTTAGTTCTTGATAATAGCAAAGTATTTCAGGTAACTAGGATAAGGAAGAATCACCAAAAATTGCCTTTTGTTTTAGTGCAATTAAATACCTGTTTTCCAAAATATACAGAAAACAAGCGTTTGTTTCAAGCGAAATCGGTTGTCGAGTCTGCAGTACTTTCTTACAAATAACTGTTAAGTCTGCCTGAGAGCACCTTTTGTGAAAGGCTGAGTTACATAATGCTTCTGTGAAACTCTTGCTTTGTAGGTTTTGACATCGACACCCCRGATGATTTTGGCAGGACTTGTCTTCACGCAGCTGCAGCGGGAGGGTAGGTGGCATTAGGGCTTTCATTGTTAGTTGTCCTTCTTTTCAGTGTCTGATCATTGCTGGGTTTTCTTGGACTTTTTTGTTTTTAATTTCCTCTCTATGGTTTTCCAGGTGTCTCCTCTCAGAATTTATATAAATAAGGATATAATTTCTAGATGGATTCCATCTTAAAAAAAGAAAAAAAGACAAGAAAGTAGAGCCTGGGGAAGAGCAATTTGAAATATTCAGCTTAATTATGGGAACAAAGCATGCAGATATCATCAACCTTGTCTTAAGTTTATTATTGGGGAGAGACTTTTTTTATTTCAATTTCCCATGGATGATACTATAATTTTTAGAATTTACTGGATTCCAAAATGTCATGTCCTTGCAGGATTGCTATGGGACATGAGGAGGAGAATAACTCCTTGGGAAACTGTTTCTCACATACTCTTGAACAAAAGATCAACCTAACTAAAATGTCATCATTCTAAACCTTAGATGAATAAAGTGGTCAACACTACTTGTTCATCAATKGAGTTATTCTGTTGTGATTTGTTCTTTTTTATAGTGGATGCTCAAAACTGTCCAAAAAAATGGGTAATAGTTCTCAYGCTACCATCTGGGGGGCACAAGATCTTTCATTTTTCTTTACACTAAGTGGTTGGTCAAAATCAAAGACATTTGATAATCAGTTCTAACAGGAATGTATCTAAGGTTAAAATACTGTCTTTTTTATATAAAAAAAATCATAATTTGCTATATACTTCCTCATCCTAAGTTTAGGAAAGTTACTAAGATTTTGTTTAAATAACTATTTTGCATCTGTTACAATGATGTATTGCATTGAAAATGAATTACTAAATGAAATGAATTATTAAAAAGTAGAGTATTAACACAGCAACATGTGATTGGCCTTAAATTGTATGCATTAAAAATTGTTTTTAGTCCAGCATCTTAGTAGCAAAACATCTTGTGATATGAAGTTTTATCTTTTTTTTAATTGAAAATTGTATTAAACCAGGTTAATATTCTTGAGCTTTCTGCTAGCCATTCTGTATGTAGATTTGGAATAACCTGTTCTTTAGTGTTTTGCTCCTGCAATTTTGAAATATTTTTTTATATGGATTTTCTAAGTAAAATATATTTATTTAAATTTTCCTATGATAGTTTTGTTTGATAAAAATGCCACGAGATGTATACATATAGCAGTTCAGATGTTTGGAAAGGCCAATATGAAGGAAATATAATATGCAATCACAAGCAATGTTGCATTAACTTCATAGGAATTTGGAGTGCCTAAACCTTCTGCTCAATACTGGTGCAGACTTCAACAAAAAGGACAGATTTGGGAGGTAAGATTCACTCTTGATTTGCGTTTTGTTAAGGGCTGTTAAAATACTACATAATGATTTATATAGCATGCTTATGTTATATGAGCAAGCCTGTATATTCCAGTAGGAATGTTTTTAGAGATGACGTCCCTAACAGATCCTTAGAACTGCTACAGCAGTTCCTATGCTGAAGGATATATTATCAAGAAGTAAAAACATATTTTATTTATTATCTTTTAAAAAGTAGATTTCAGTCTTGTGTCTGAAGATTGATRCATCCTTTGATTTTTTAAAGTCTCTTCTGCTTATAACCTTGATCTGTCAAGTTTACATTTTTCCCATTCAAGGTCTTTAGCAATGTTTCCAAATAACTTACCAATTAAAACTATAATTCTGATGTTATTCCTGAGGCTTTTTAAAAAAATACTTGGATTTTCTAAATGCAACTTCACCCTTTTCCTCTCACGACATCCATCCTTTTCTGATTCCTTTCCTTGCTCATACTCGGAACTCTTTGGGAATGACAGTAATTTCTATTTTTAGTATTTAAGTTAGGAAGGCATGATCAATACTTGTGCAAAATTTCATATCACATCATAGAAAATATGATTTTCCTCGATGCGAGTGWCAGGAGTAGGACTCGAAGAGAATGTTATGGATATAAGTTCCATCTAGTAAAATTCTACTTCCATTCTTTTCTCTTCCACTTTTCCCATTGACAGTTCTTTTTTCTGTTGTATTTTAACTCGATCTATAGAACATGACTTTGGAAAAAGAAAAAGAATTTAAATAGCTTAAATTGAAAAAAAAAAAACTCTTTAAGGAAGAGAGAAAGATAGGACATGTACAAGAAGCACTAAGGCATCCCTACATTGAGATATTTGTAGCAGTAATCTATCTTAAAGTAAAAAGAGCTAAAACCGAGTTCATTCTTCAGTGTTTCATTCGTTGTGAGAAAATAAARTAAATTTTAAAAATATTTCTCTGACAGTGCTGTGATGCGGAGTATAATAATTAGAAAAGCATGCTGCTTTGTTCCAACCTGGATAAAATGCTGATGTCTTTGTAATAAAACATCTACCCTGTTAACTGTTGTATTTTGTTTTTACCTTGYTTAGTTGCTATGTACTTTGTTAGACAATGGATATTAGATTTATTCATAATTTTCAGAGTGGATTAAAATGACTTGAATAGCTATAAAAAAATGTTTCTAGTGTAAACTGCATTWTCCTCTGTATGTTTACACAAGAAAATTTGTGTAAAACTTCCCATAGCAGAGAATATGTTTGTATATTGGCTGACAGATTCATCCCCCAGATGATGCTCTGCATTATTAAATAGCCCCAAGAAAATCATCTTAAATATTTAAAATATTTGTGTTTATACATTCTTCAGCACAAATACTTGTCAGCTAAGTGTAAGCAGGGTTTTAAAATGTCACTTTATTTTGCATTTTCTGTCTCTATAATCTTATTGTGCTGTTATTTACCATTGTACTTTTTATTTAAATGTGTACTAAAGAACTCCACTCCATTATGCTGCTGCCAATTGTAATTATCAGTGCCTGTTTGCCCTTGTGGGATCTGGAGCTAGTGTGAATGACCTTGATGAGAGGGGTTGTACACCTCTACACTATGCAGCTGCATCAGACACAGATGGAAAGTAAGTAGCATGCCTTGTATGCAACTCTATAGTCCTTAGAAACCTTTGAGCCCTAAATCTTACGTACGTTCTGCTTTCAGATTTGCCTACATATAAAATGCAGATTTGTATTATATTCATATATCTATATTAAGATCGCAATTGATTGTGGATTGTTCATTGTATATAAAATGTTTCATGCGCCAAATTTTCCTTAATGAAAATGAATGATAGCAAGAGGCATTGTATTTTTTGGTGATGTCCTTTATTGCAGACACCTTAATTCAGGAATTTGCTATGAAAATGGTTTTTAATCCCACATACTGCACAGTGCTAGAATAAATATCATCTCATGCCTTGGGGGATATAACGCAGCTCTCTTAACAGTTAAAGTCATGAGGGTAATTTTGCTGTAGGATTCTGATGAAGGGTGGGCAAGKCTAACTGGTGGGTTCTTGTAGGCCAGCAAAAGGGTAGAAATGAACTGGCCTGGTTTAATTATGAGACACTAGATCCCATTGCAATTTGACTGCACTTTACATATTTAGCTTTACAGTGCTTATCCTTGTTAGTGCAAATATCTGTCAAGTAGTTACTTTTCTATAACGAAATGTCTCCAGAATACTTCATAAATTCATATTGTGTGTGTGGGTCTGTATTTTGTAATTTAATGGTTGCATTTAGCATGGTTATTAATGACTAAAATACTTGTGTGCAAAGCTTGTGTAGACAGAACAAAAGCAATGAGGTTAATTAAACTCCAGATATTGTTAGTATTGAGGAAACTTTAGAGAACCACTACATGTGGTTCCTAGAGAACCACACACAGGCCGCTGAGCTGTCTTGCATGCACTTGATGTCATTTTCATTAGAAAAAAGTGAACTTTTTAGTGCTATGTAATATCATTTTTAATGCAGGGTATTTTTTTTTTCAAAGGTTTGAGGAAGTGTAAATAAAGAACAAGCATAGCCTCAAAACTGATATGAACCTGCMTTTTTTTTCTGTAAAAATGATCTTCTAGACAAAATTGTCTGCCACTTGTTACATAGGCATTCCCCACCTGCAGAAATTTGGGATAATTTTCCTTCAATTGCCCTCCTACAACGTGACCTGGGATTAATTTTAGCACCGCAGTTGCTGTGGAAGCCTCCCAGCCCTCGTGCTGCTTCGGATGCCTTTGTCCTGCCGCCTGCCTGCTGGAAGGCGGGAGCGCGAGCCGGGCCGGCCGAGCGCTCTGGGCTCGGCGCCGGCATTCCTGCCGGATGCCGACCGGGAGCTGGATGGGGAGCAGAGCGCRCGGAGCCCAGCGGCCCCGAGGGACACTCTGCCCATCGCTGCAGCAGGATGGCTCACAGCAGCTGGAACACCAGCACCGCTGGCCTCGTATTCCAAGTGGGAAAGGAGCTGTAAACTATTCCGAGGTGGAATATAAAGCCTTGGAAATAAAAATGTCAGCATTTGATCTATATAGGAATTCCAAGGATTTTTTCCTTTTTTTTTTTTTTTCCAGGCAGGCATCTTTAAAGATAGATTTTAGAGACAAAGATTTTTTTTTTATCCTAAACTTCCATTTGCATCTTTTGGGAAATGTTTGTTTGGTATCTTTGACAAGTGTGTCTCATGCTGGACAATGACACCAGTGAGCCTTATTTTGGCAATATTAAAGAAGGATGATAATGGAATAAAATAGAGCAGCATGTTGGGGCAGGGGAGTTGAGTTCTCTTTTCATATTAGAATTATTTAACAGACTGTCAATGAGTAGCAAATAGATTAACTTATTCAGCCTTTTTTAAAAAATCTGATTTATCGCCTTTTAAAGAGGGCTATTGAGGCTATTGAGGACAGCTAAGCATTCGGAAGATGCAAATCTCCTTCCTGGATGAGAAGTAATAGTAAAAATAATGATCAGCTTCACACAGAAAAGAGCTTTTAGTGGCCCCACAGCATGCAGCACCATTGGGGATCACCTCCCAAGAGTCACTCCATGCATCTCAGCCCAGTCGGCACAAACATTTCCTTACCTACTTGGTGTGCCTTSCTTGAATGGTCAAATGGGTCCCTTAATGGTGAGACCAACCCACCCAGGTCGCTCCTCCTCATTTTGCTGTGTTGTAATGAACGTTCCTTCATAGGCAGAGGGATCTAGCGGAGGTCCTGGATATCTCACCAGCAGTTCCATGTCAGTGCTTTGGGGCTCAGAGCCGTGCAGAACACATGCAGAGTTTCCTGGCCTTTTCCTCAAAAACATTGTGTCCACACCCCAACAGTCTAATTACAGTGTGTGATGTTGACAACTGGGTCTCCTTTGTGCACATGCAAACAAAGGATCCAGTCACTCAGGACACTAGCAACTGGTCTGGAATAGGTTCTGATTATTAAACCTAGACTGGGAGATGTGATCCAGCCAGCTCAAGTCCACCTCCTTTTCATCAAGTATCAGATGTTCTGTTCTCAAGCCAGGTAGTGTCATGAATTTGATGCTTCTCCTTTCTAGGCTGTGTCATCAGGCAGGGTGGTGTGTGCCGTTTCTCAGGTCCTAAAGGTTTTATCTGTGCTAGGACATGAGGAGACATTCACAGCGTTAACTGCTTGAGGAAACTGAGACTAATCTAGTACCAGARTCACTGTAAGCTGTCAGTGTCAGGGAAACCCAAATCTGTCCTCCTTCGCTACGCCGTTAATTCAGAATTTCCAGAGCTCTTGATTGTGCTCAGCTGCACCTTGCCATATAGGTGCTTGGAAACTCTTACAAACATGAATAAGCACACAAAATASCAATAAGCTGATATTATTATGGGACTCCCTGCTTCTTGCAGGTGTTTATTATGTAGCTCTGAAGCTTGTGAAGCTGAGATTGGGATGGGTCCAGTAGTTWAGGTCCCCTTAGCAGCTTGTTCTCCAGTGGCTGTTTCTCTGTAGTTCTTATCCCCACTATTTTTAAGCTCTGCAGAATGTTGACTGGATGAGCAGAGTCATCGGTTGGACTCCCTCTGTGTGCACACAAGGAGTCCCTTGGAGCTAGCATCCAAACTCCATTTTCATGCTCCTGCCTGAGTGTCTGTGGTTCAAACTGTGCTGATCATGCTCTGCTGTATTTCATGTGATAAGAGTAAGAAATGGTGTGCATGCCAGCAGRTGATGACTCTGTTTATTATCTAAATGCACCAATAAATCAGTGTTTGTTCCTTCTGTGCAGTAGGGAGCTTTGTGTCTGACTTAACAGCACCTGGTTTTGTGGGTCAGCTGTTCAGGAGCCCTSGTCGGTCCTGTACAGCCAAGCAGTGCTCCTTTCTGCTGTACTGCATTTTCCATTTGAAATGTAACAACTGATCACTTGGAAAAAGGCTGAAATTTAACCTTCAGCTCTATGGCTGTCATATATCCATTTAAATAGGTGCCTGGAATATTTGCTAAGAAACGATGCCAACCCTGGAATCCGAGACAAGCAAGGATACAACGCGGTCCATTACTCTGCGGCTTACGGTCACCGCCTGTGTCTAGAATTGGTAAGAAAATGCCCCGTGGATGAGAGCTGCAACAGCTCCTGCTGGAGAGGGTGCTGCAGAGGCCGTGGCAATCCCCACCTTTGCTCCTCGTCTCTAAGCCCCCATGATAGGGGTGTTCAGCCCCGGGGAGGATACGTACTTGAGTACTTGGTACCCTTAAAATAGGGGCAATATGGGGAGCTGAAATGGTAGCTGCTGGCTTAAAAAGACTATTGTGAGATGAAGAGCTTGCTTAGGATCTGGGGCATTGGGTTTATTTTAATTTTTTAAATCTGGAATATACTGTTAGTTTTATTCCTCATGGTTGAACTGTAATAATCACAGGTGTTCCACTGAGGCGCATTAAAAGATTTCGCAAATGGCTTCTGGAGTTGCAGTTTAATATTGAAAACTTGAAAGTGACCACCCTTGGAAACTAGGATGGTGATTAGAAATAGTTCACATAGTTGCAATAACTGATGACCATAATACACTATTTGAACTCAAGCCTCAGTATGTTTTTTGATAAATGCCTTTGCAAAAATGGGTGTGTTATTTTTATGTTGATTTTGTGTATTATAGCTTAATATTTTTATGCAAATTATAAGCATATAAGCATATTTAATCAGATTTCTGAATGTTTTTAATTGCAGATCGCAAGTGAAACGCCTCTAGATGTTGTAAGTGTGTATGATTTCTCACTGTAAAGTATTGTATGGCAGTTTTAAAATACTGCTGCTTATTTTTAGACTTAATCATCTCTTCAGTGCGTAGATATGTTRTTTAATGTTTGCAGCTCAGGATTTTGTAATGGAAAATAATCTTTTTTTAAACCAACAGTTGACTAAAACATTTGTATGACTTGACTGTGTGATCATGAAACCTTGATGATGACACACATAGATTTGGTGTTCTTCAAACACTCTGAACGCTTTAATTCTACTGTCTAAATTAACCAGTCTTGAAAAAGACCCAAGATTAAAACATTAACCACATCTGAACATAACCAAACACAATTGTATACAYACAGATATTTTAGCCCAGTTTTGTTGTTCCTGTGCCCTTGTGAGAGGGCCTCTTGGCAGATATTTTCCTGTTCTGAGAAATCCTGCCCTCTGGCTCTTCATAGCTGCTTTCTTGCTGACTTGCTAACCCAACCTAAATGCCTCGTTGTTATTTTTTTTCCTTCCACAGCTGTTTTTCCTCTCACATGTCTTTGTCTTCACTTTGCATGCCCTTTTTTTTTTCCATATTATATGATAAGGCTGCTTCAGGGTAAAAATACTGCAGATTAATTTCTCATCTGATTACTGCATTGTCCTGCAAAGTTAAACAGCTCTGGGAAATGAGTATGGAGAAGGGGTTGCAGTCTTTGTRATTCAAAGGCTTTAAAAGAATGAAATAATTATAGAATTCCTATGGAAAATTTAAACCTATATTATTTCTTCTAATTTTCTTTATTTCTCAATCTGTRTATACTGGAAGTAATAGCAGTTATTAATGATTTTTTAAAAAAAGTGAGGGGTGGGTTTTTGCACTCAAATGGAATTTTCTCTCTGTTAAGCTAATGGAAACATCAGGTACCGACATGCTGAACGATTCAGACAACAGAGCACCCATAAGTCCACTGCATTTAGCTGTAAGTATTTAATTTGTTCATGATGACAGATTATGTAATTGCCAACAGATGTTGACACATTTTYGATTCATTCTGAACTTTTTTTAGTGGTCAGTGACAATAAATTACACCATAAAATACTTAACATGTATAGCTCATGAACGAGTCCTGTAAGGAGCATTTACCTCTTGGCTGAAACTGAACACTCCTCATTTGAAATCTTGCTTCTATGTAAGATTTGTCTTTAAAAGTATATTAACAAAACTTAGAAGTCTTGTGCTCTACCCAATAATGGTATGTTTTGCCATCATGATTCTTCTTTTTATATTAAAAAAAGCCTTTAAAACTCTAAGAAGGATTTACACAAATACTGAGAGGCTTTTTTTTAKATCCTTATTTATTTAGTGTGATTTTTTATTGCTTATTCCATAAGTGCCTCCTATTTTTCCTACTCCATTAACTGTTAATTATTTATATTGTATTTTTTACTCAGAAATTTTACAGGTTGTTTTTTGAATATCCTGTGTTAATTAGCTCCTTAAATAGGAGCTAGTTAAGTTTCATATCCTTGCTTGAAGTAATCTCAGGTTGAGGTAACTACATGAAGTAATTGTTAACATAAATGAAACATTTATGAATGTGAAATGAAAATTTTGGAAATGAAAATAAAATGAAATTTCATGAAAATGATTTTTTTGGAAATGCTGTTGGTTGCTGATTGAAGGGGTAAAATGGGAAAGCACAAACCTTCCTGCTGAAATAGTTTGCACAGTTTGTTGTAGGCATTTTGGAGCTACTTACCTGCTGCATTAGGAGCTCTTTAAAAGAGCATCCTCAAGTAAAAATGCTAGATTTGCAATTTAATATAGGAAACCCTGGTAAACAGAGGAAAAATGTGAAGGCCAGGAAAACCGGAAGKTTATCTTGTGCTCTCAGGCATACCATGGTCACCATCAAGCTCTGGAGGTGCTGGTGCAGTCCTTGCTGGACCTTGATGTGAGGAACAACAACGGGAGGACGCCGCTGGACCTTGCTGCCTTCAAGGGGCACGTGGAGTGTGTGGACGTTCTCATTAATCAGGGAGCCTCAATCTTGGTGAAAGATTATGTTGTAAAGAGAACCCCAATACATGCTGCAGGTAAGTGTTGCCGTTCAGCTCTGGAATAATGTAATAATGCTGGCATTATTGGCATAGCAGCAGTGATCTTATAAGAATATTGCAGTGAAAAGAGCATTCTATACAGAGCAGTGTCATTCTAACCCCTTTGGCTGTGAGCACAAGCTGTATTACTATATTTTAGCCCCTCATAACTTCTGTTAACATCTCATACTATATTTTAGCCCCTCATAACTTCTGTTAACATCTCTGTCAAACCATTCTAATGTGGACTGAATATGGCAGCTGGATGTCAGGAATATCTCTCCTCAACAAGCGACAGTTTGTCTTTCAGGAGTTCCTTTGAAATCTTATATGATTGAAATGATATATATCTGTGTATCTATATATATCTTCCTATGTGTACAGATATATCTCTATACACTTACATATCTTTTTATAACTGTTGAGTTATTTAATGCATTTCCTTTCTTTCCCTTTCCTCTAAGTGTGATTTCAATTATCACTTCATAACTATGCACCTGCTGTACTTGCTAATGAACCCGTGTGTAATTGGCTCTGTGTAGATTTGCTTTATTTGAGGTATAGGTAAAAAATGTGCTAATTAGTATATTTAATTACTCCTTATTTAAGTTATATAACCATATACTTATGACTAATGTGTCCAACCTCATTTATATAGAGAGCTGCAGATATCTGTCAGCAATTGATGGTTGGAATAGATTCCTTCTAATTATACAATTGCAAATACTCAATTTCTGAAATCATGTTGAGTATAATTCTTTTTTGTTTATTTTCAATTGTAGTTGTAATAATAAAGCTGGCACAATGGGTTCTCGAGATGGCAAGTTTTAGTCTGAGCAGCTTACAGTTCTAATCGCCTTTGAGTATGCAAAGGTCAAATGATGTAAAACTGGTATTTTTGGTGACATTTTACAGCTACAAATGGTCACTCGGAATGTTTGAGACTATTGATAGGAAATGCAGAACCACAAAATGCAGTGGACATTCAAGATGGAAATGGACAGTAAGTTCAGACGCTATAAATTCTATTCACAAGTTATTGCAYTTTATAAAACCAAGGCACCAATTCTTTTGCCTTGGTGGTTTTTTTAAAGGATTCTTTAAGGAAAACGATACTTGAACAAAAAAGATTGTATAACCTGCAAAAAAACCCCATTCTGGTAGTGGTAAAATAACTTGCTCAATTGAGAGGAAATTAAAATGCACTTATTTTTCAGATGCTAAAAAAGGGCTCTTTTTGCTTATTTAGGCATTCTGTATTATTAGAAATGAATATATTTTCCTGACCCTAAAATGCAAACTCTTGGCGTGACTGTAGTGCTAGAGACCATTAAAAGTCTAAATTTTAAAACAGTGTTGCCCCAGACAGTAGAAGTTAAAATTTTTCAGCTTAACTCTATTGAATTCCTGTGTAAATTTACTCTTTATTTCTTTCTCTCTTCAGGACTCCTCTGATGTTGTCAGTTCTCAATGGGCACACGGACTGCGTTTATTCACTCCTTAACAAAGGAGCCAATGTAGATGCCAAAGATAAGTGGGGAAGGACGGCCTTGCATAGAGGGGTAAGAGAGTACTGCTTTTTTGTCCTTTTCACAGTATTTCAGCTACGAGCTTAGTATGACCAGTGACAGGGCAGGAGGTGACGGTACAAGTTGAAACACAGGCAGTTCCATCTCCAGGTGAGGAGGAACTTCCTTCCTGTGAGGGTGACAGAGCCCTGGCACAGGCTGCCCAGGGAGGTCGTGGAGTCTYCTTCTCTGGGGATCTTCCAGTCCTGCCTGGATGCCGCCCTGTGCCCCGTGCTCTGGGTGTCCCTGCAAGATGGAGCAGGAAGGTTGGACTMGATGATCCCTAGAGGGCCCTTCCAACCCCAACCATTCTGTGATTCTGTATTAGTGATTTTCTCATTATTTTTGCCCTGCTGTCCTTAGCTATTGATTATCTATTAATTGTTTTCACAATACTAGTTATCACCTTTTTACTGTATACCTTTTCTGTGTGTGCTTGCAAGTCGCTTAATTTTGCTGTAACTTGCCTGCCTAGAGAAGCCCCACGGTGCCTCTTTTGTCATGGGCAGGCAAGGGGGCACATACTGTTAATGAAAGGGAGAAACTGTAACACACGCTGTATTCCTTTTTTTCTGAAGTCTCTGCCAGATAAGACAACTGAATGAGGCACAGAGAATTAGCAGTTCATTCAAGACTATTCCAAGAAATTGGAATATATAATAATATATCATGAATATAATAATACGTCGCTATTTGTCTAAAGTAATGGCTTTATCTAGAAATAAAAAMCATAACGGAGGTTATTTGTCACCAGTTATAGTACTGAGACGTTGGAGTCCGCTTGCTTTAGTCAGGCACCCTGAGGAGATAGGGCTCTGTGTGTGTCTACATACACTTCTGTACGTGCAGACATGTGTTTGGTGTGTCCTGCAGGCCGTGACCGGGCACGAGGAGTGTGTGGAAGCGCTGCTGCAGCACGGCGCCAAGTCCCTGCTGCGGGACTCGAGGGGACGGACCCCCATCCACCTGTCAGCCGCGTGCGGACACATAGGCGTGCTGGGCGCCCTCCTGCAGTCGGCCACGGCCGTGGATGCGGTCCCTGCCATCGCAGACAATCATGGCTACACCTCCCTGCACTGGGCCTGCTACAACGGTGAGCGCGGAAGCGGCCGCTTCGGCTCCCGCGGGAATGCCCCGCGCTAGGTAGGGTGCCCCCCAAGGGGTCCRGTGCTCAGAGTGGCCTCAATTGCAGAATCTGAGCATTCAGCAACACAAAATGTGGAATAAAAGTTAAGTTTATTAAGTAAGCCAAAGATGCAAGAGATTTTGGAGAGTACAGGACTGATTTGTTGTGTTTATCTTTTCATTATTTCTAGAACAGCACAGTTATCCCATACTTTTAAGTCCGTTTTTTACATACTTTTACATAACTTCATATTCCATTTAAGGTTGTCAGTGTTTGAATTTTTGCAAAATTACAAGATATAACTGAAAAAGTAGCTCCCAGTTTGAGACAAACATTGACTAATAGAACAGCGTGTTGGTGTGGTTGGATGCAGTGCTATATCTGTACCAAACTTCAGAAGTCATTTCATGAATAAGATTTGTAATCTTTCTTTGAAGTATCTGCTAAATTTATTCATGGAGGTGCTGGTCATAACTTCATATTTACTGTCTAATAGGTAGATCACTTTTACATGATGTTTACTCTGTAAACAATTCCTTATTCACACATTTTTCAAGAGTTTACTGTTTCATTAGTTGCACAAATATTTGTATAGCTCTGTCTCCCCCTTTATAGTTCAATTTGTAAAAACAAGCGGATGAGTACAAGTCCCTGCTTAACCTGCCTCCATAGCTCTTCTCGGATCCAAAAYAGCTCCCTGGAACTCTACCTTGTTCCAGTAGCTTTTTATCACTGCCTGGTTTAGAGAGTTGTGAGCTCAGAGCCAGCTAGGAGCTTAGCGATCCGGCCATCCCTTATGATCTGTGCTCGTGCTTCAAAGAGAGTTTCCTTAAGAGAGCTTCYCCGGGAAGGAACTCTCTCCCTTTCTCAATCCCTTGCTGCTGTTGACTTGTTTTAAATCAAATAAGGGAGATTTTTTTTCTTTCTTTCCCCAAGATACTCTCTTCTCTGCCTCCTTCCATCTTCTTCCTCCCTCCCAAGACTATTCTAACATGGATCAGTTCCCTCCCAGTGCAGAGAGCAAATCTTGAGGCACCTGTATCATCTAGCTGTGCTCTCACTTCTCCTTAAAAAGAGACTTAAAAGACATAAACTAAATCACAGCTAAAGTGTTTTTGGATGTCAGAGTGCTCAGATTTATTTATTTCTATTTTTTTTTAATGACAGAGTAGCCTATTCTGCTTTTTTAATTATTCATTCTGTTTTGGAAAGAAGRTTATTCATCAATCATAGCATTACGGAGTGCTTTTAAATTTTGACATGCTTGTGTTTTATTTTTTATATGAAATATATATTTTTACAATGTATTTCCTGGAATCTGCAGTGTGGGGAATACTCCCTAAAAGGATGGGAAGGATTAATTTTAATATGAGAGGGGCTTTCCTGACACAAAGGTTCTCCTATAGTTTATCTCTGGTTCACATTATAGAGAAAGACTGAGAAGTGGGCATTTAATGCTTCACTTCCAGTGTGACTTCTAAGTGAATAGCTCATAGACTGTCCTCAGAGCTAAGGGAACTGGGTAAATCACCACTGTTGATTTCAGTCTGAATAGGACACCAGATTCATGACATTAAACTCTTATGGCTTGATGCATTTTCAGAGTGAGCAGAGTTTCTGAAAAAAAGGGCCCTGAAATATGCTTGATTTTTAGAATGAAAAGTTGATRGGACTTCTAAAAATGCAAATTTTCAGAACACAGTAAATGTTGAATAAATGTGCAGTAGTTACAGATCAAATAGGTAGTTATGAGAACCAGTTACCCATACAGCAGTAGGCTGTAGAATTTTGAAAACATTATTATGGTGGGTAGAGCGGGTTCTTGTTAAGGTCTTATTATGGCTATTAGCCCTAATATTTAGCAAGTCAGTGGAACAAAAAACCCTGAAATAACTACATTTTGTTTAGACAGAGAGCTTGAAAAGYATAGATTTAAGGAACTGCCAAGTGTTATGTATGTTGTTCAGACAGCATGAGATCGTTTTCAGGTTCACAATAGGTATGTAACATGTCATTTCATAGCTTAAATAAGATATTGTTTAATCTACTTTAGCAAATTTGTTTATCTTGTAGGTTGTCATCCTTTATAGATAAAATATATATGTTATTACTGTGATTATTATTATTATTATTATTATTATTATTATTAGTTTTTAATAGTTGACTTTTACACTTGTTTTAGGTCATGACAGTTGTGTAGAGCTCCTGCTGGAACAGGAAGTTTTCCAGAAAACAGAAGGAAATTCTTTCAGTCCGTTGCATTGTGCTGTGTAAGGGAGTCTTAAATTATTCTTTATATATTTCATTGCAGTATTTAAAAAAAAAGCTTTATCCTTCTGTAAATAACAGCATGATTACTTTTTTATAGGATAAATGATAATGAAGGTGCTGCAGAAATGTTGATTGATACACTAGGTGCTGGTATTGTAAATTCAACAGATTCAAAAGGAAGGTAAGAATGTATTGGAAAAAATGTAATAGTTGCATTGTTCATTTGAATGTTGTCACTTTGGCCTTCTTAATATTGGGCTGTTTAAAATCCTGCTCTGCATCAGTAGACTTAGGTATGGTTTGTATTGTGTAGGCCAGTTTGGGCTGCTTACAGTCATGCGGTGGGTAGTAGGAATTTTCATCAACTTGTGTGTATTGTAGGAAGCTAATAAAGTGCCGTTTATCTGGAAATTGGGGGTGACTTTATAAATGCACCTGTCACAAGTCCAACAATAATAATTTGGGAGCATCAGTGGGACTGCCCGCCGGGTCTTTGTACAGTAGAACACCAGTATAGAGACCTTTGCATAAAGTTGAAAGATGAGGAACATTTTCCTGAACGTGAGCACATTCTCGTTTCTCGTAGAACTCCTCTTCATGCAGCAGCCTTTACAGATCACGTGGAGTGTCTCCAGCTTCTGCTGAGTCACAACGCTCAAGTAAACGCGGTAGATTCCTCTGGGAAAACACCCTTAATGATGGCTGCAGAAAATGGACAGACAAACACAGTTGGTAAAGATACAGCTTTATTTCTTTCTGCTCTTAAGCTTGTTAATAAGCAATAGTATCTTGCTAAAGTTGCATTATAGTAACCTGATTGTGGCTCATTTTGTAAATTAATATTTTCATTTTGCACAAAGGTAAGCCCCTGAAACTTTAAGGAATATGCTTTAGCTGATGCCCTTCTTTTTCTCCCAGAGGTGCTGGTTAGCAGTGCTAAGGCTGATCTGACTTTGCAAGACAGGTCTAAGAACACAGCACTCCACTTGGCTTGCAGCAAGGTGCGTGCTTATTTTGACTTGAGCAGTGCTGGGTTTAGGTAACCAAATACTGTTTGCAAAAATGAACTTTGTGAAAAGGCATCAAAAGCATCTTTTGTAAGTATTTGTTGTATGACAGTGTGTTTGCTCTGTATTAAGGGTCATGAAACTAGTGCCTTGTTAATACTGGAGAAGATTACAGATAGAAACCTCATCAATGCCACCAATGCAGCCTTGCAAACGTACGTATGCCACTGAGTGGTGTTTTACTATCAGGTTTTGGTTTTGTTTCCTTTTTTTTTTGTTTCCTTATCATGCATTAAAAAACAAATACTTTACAGATTTTTTTTTCCAAACTAGTTCAATATATATTGTGTAATAGATACCAAAAATGTGCAACCAACTTTAACACAGAAGATGCTTCATTCTAGTTTAAAGGTTGTGGGTTTARCTGAGTGAAAAGAATGCCCAATAAATCTTGCAATATTATGATTCAGGGAATTAAAATTCACTTTAGTTGAAAACTCATTTGAGACAAATCAAGATTTGCTCTTCTACGACATGAGATTTGCTCAAGATTTAGCTAATGCTAAAAGAAAAACTTGCAGAAATAATGTGGTTTTTTTAACATGCTTTTCACAGGCTCATGTAAATTCCACCCACATGCCTTAGCTTACGCAGGCTGACTATAGGAATACCAAGGGGAAAAATAGGTATCTATTCTCACCTTCATGAAATGTTTATATAGGTTTCAAGAATTAATTTAAGAGTTCTAAAAATATTACTGCTTTGGCAAATATTTTTAATAATTACCCTGGCTTTCTAAACAATTTTCATCATGAACAATGTCCCACTTTCTAGCAATATAAATACTACAGTTTTTGGCCTTAATAATAAAAAGATCTTAATCACAGTAGGTTTTTTTAGTATATTTGTGGTATAGGCAGAGCTTCTCCTATTTTTTAGTTTTTTAACGAAGGCCCTTGTTTCCAAATGAAAATAGAGCTCATGGCTAATTCAAACAATTTTAAGAACCGCAAAATGAATGAAGAGCAATATAAGGCAGTTGAAGTAAGTTGATTATTATGTTTCCTGTATGAGTTTTGAGGCCAGTGAGTATCACTTATTAAACTCTTGTATTTAAAAAAGATGGAGTTAGAATATTTGAGGTAAAGTKGACACTTTCCTTGATGGATTGAGTCACTACAAATATGACTGTGGCTGATAAGTTTGACGTTGTGAAAAGTAATGTTTTTTTTTTCCTTTTGCTTCTTTATGCCTTATATTGTAAAATAAAAATTTCACCCATTTCACCCACATTTGTATTGCATAAAACATGACTAGCATTCTGCTGGGTTGCTGCTAGTGACATGCAGTAACTCTCAGATGCATCCCTGTCTGTTCTCACAGTTCAGGAAGGATTTAAGTTAACACTAGGTGCTCGTTATTTCCAAGTTTTCAATGTGATGAAGTCCTTGGGAGGTACATTTGTTCCAGCAACCACTTACAGCGCAATGCTATAAAACAAATGGAAAGTGCACAGTTGTTACTGTATAGCCTCTGAGAGATTAAATCTCCACTGTTTGGATAACATGTAAATAACATACAAGTGTTAAGTATTTCAGGAATCAGTTAGATGCAAGCTACTTAAAATCTTATTTCCTATCTTGTTCTAAGGTTTATATACCAGTTTGCTTGTCTTCACAGACCTCTGCATGTTGCTGCTCGGAATGGACTAACAGTTGTAGTTCAAGAACTTTTAGGGAAGGGAGCAAGTGTACTTGCTGTAGATGAAAATGGTAAGAATAAATTTAACCTTGTTTCCCCATAAAGGAACGGTGGTTTTAAACGCAGCTCACTGAAAACCAGTAACTGCTCTTGAAATTTCATTTAAGCCTCATAGTAGATTCCTCCGTAGAAAAAAAGGTGTGGTGATGGTGGTGATGATGGGACCTTTTAGCACAGCAGAAAAAGCAAGACAAATGAAAGATATTTCAGAACAGCAGTGTCAGTCATATATATGATTTGAATTTGCAGTCTTATACATTAGCTCTAGCAATATGGTCTGAAATGAAAATGATCTGCAAAATTTAATGCTCAAAGTCAATTCTAACTCTGAGCTGCTACAAAGCTGGATTAAACCGCCATTCATTTTACCAGGATGTATTGGTGCTAGTTTTTAAGAGGAAGTGTGAATTATAGAGCACAGTTACTGGGTGCAAAGCATCTGGCCCTTGAGAGTTTTTTAGCACATAGAAGTATGAAAAAGTAACTGCCTTATCACCTGGCACAAGTCCTGTACCTTGCAAGAACAAAAAAATAGATGTACTGGCTTCTCGTGTGCTTATTTTCATGTAGGAGATCTCTGGTCCCCCCAAGTTGGGCCACTGCCCATCTCAAACTAATGTCTTGAACACAAGCAGCAGCTGCTCCGTTTCCAGAAAAATGTGCCTGATTAATAGTGCTAATTATATTTCTGCTTTGGGAAGCTTTTCCTCCCTTGATGTTTACTGTGACTTTCCAATTACCATGTTTCTCAAATTACACTGCTTAAAAGTGACACGAGTGATTCAAAGATTATTCTTTGCCTAAAATAAGAAACAGAAGGGAGAGAGTTTAATGAAACCTCTAAATGAAACTAAAATGGAACTTCTGAAAATGAAAAGATGGGGAAAACTGCCTTTTTGATTTGTTCGCTTCTCATCACAAGTGTGCTGCCTGCGGGAGCTGTTTGTACAGCCAGTTTGCTGGGCCCCTCATCTGCAATCAGCCAGTCCCTTGTCAGGATGAATCCCTGTTAGGACTGACTTAACAGGGAAAATAGCTGGCAAGAAGTCAGTAGCTATTCCCAAGTTGTATCCTGAAACTTTAACTGTACCTACAATAAAACCACTTCCGTAGCAGTTGAAATATTTGCTGGTGAAGTGAACGTTGCCTCCTTTTCCAGGCCCTTGTAGTGTCCAGATAAAAAGCCCATCACGACTCTTCCCTTTCAAGCCTTGTGTGTGGGGGGTGTCCCGGGAGCTGCCTGGAGAGAGGAGACGTCCCGCTGGGGCAGCCCAGAGCTGGATGCACTTCCTCCCRGAGAGTCCCAGCCCGCTCATCCAGCTGGCATTTCCTCACATTCCTTTGGCTTTCCTCATTTATCTCCCTCAAATAAAACCCACATCCTGGCAGTGTATTGCAGATGGCTCCGTGTTGTAATAAAGCCCACACGGATCGAAATTRCATATTTTCATCTTCTGAGTCATTGGCCTGCATGTTTTAGCCAGCTTGGTTTGGGACAAGTATTTTAATAGCCCCACTGAGTGTGTGCTGAACAGCTCCATGGATGCCTCTGGATGAGGAAAACTCGGGATGTGGCAGCACGGCCTCTGTGGTGGCTCCCTGGTGGATCCCTTCCCCAGTGCCGATGGGCCGCGGTGCCGGTGTCTCCTCACCCGGCCGAGCTCCGCAGCATGTGCAGATCCCGGCTTCCCTCAGCGGCCTCCAGCTTCTGGCTTGGCTTAACAAAATAATCCAATCTCTGTCCCAAGGCCCCTTGTCTTCTAGGGTATTTCCATAGCGGACAGTACATGTACATATACTTATTTGCATTTCATACTTTTTTAAAATAGTTCAGAAGAAAGTAATATCAAATACTTTCGCAGCTGAAAGATGMTATGATCTTGGAAAAATTTTTACATTTTGGAAATGTAAATATTGGATTTCAGAGAAAGTTTTACACTTTCTTGGAAAATTTTTTACCTTTGTTTTTTCCTACGTGAAGGTTTTGGCTTTATCTTGACTTGCAGGTTACACGCCCGCCCTGGCCTGCGCCCCCAACAAGGACGTGGCCGATTGCCTGGCGCTCATCCTGGCCACCATGATGCCCGTTTCGTCGAGCAGCACGCTGCCGTCGCTGACGTTCAACGCCATCAACCATTACACCAACACCTCAAAAACCGTCACCTTCGATTCCCTGCCCATCATGAGGAGTGACCACAGCTCTTACTGTAGCTTCAACAACATCGGCAGGGAAGACGGCTACCCCTATACGGAAGAGGACGAGCTCAACGACTCGGATTCCGAGACCTACTGAAAGCTACGTCCTGTGGGTCGGGAGAGGGAGCCCGAGCGTTGCAAGATCCGACTTGTGCTCTTGGGGGAAAARAAACGCAGACGGAGTTTGAATACAAAAACAGGACAGGCCTTTGAGAAGATGTTCTTTTTTGTTTGATTGATTGTTTTTTTTTTTATTGTGGTTGCATATAAAAAAGCCTGTGAGRCTCTAGGAGGATTTTTAAGAGAATATTTTGCAGAAGAAGCCTAAACTCTTGAATAAGTACTTGGAATCCATGGCAAAAAAGTAGAATAAAGAATGTCAAAACTGTTTTATTTGATTCTACCATTCTATTTCTGGTGCCAGAAGAAGTTTCTGCAGACTGGGCACCCTACTTGATGTAAATGAACAACACTATTGTACAACACAGAGGATGTTAGGTTTAAATATTATCGCTAAAACTAAAACCATTTTGAAGGCAATAAATGAGTTTGGTACAGGAGGCATTGTTTGTGCTGCAAATTGCCAAAGGACCAAATAACTTAAAGATTTTTTTTTAATTAAATACCTTTTTTTGTGGAAACTGGAACAGGTCAATTGAGAAGTTATTTTAACCAAACCTTAACTACTTCTGAGAGAGAAGCTTAGATTTGGTTTTAAATGTGTTTTTTGTTTTGTTTTGGGGTTATTTTTAATCATATGAAAGCCTTCCAACACTATTAAATGTACCATAAAAAAGATGTATTTTAAGTTTTGTTTTCTTTTTCTTTTAGATGAAATGAAAATGAACTTGTCATACTTTTATAATACTAAAATTAAACCAGCTAACAAGGTGGAGTCAGGGTGAAACATGTACAGTGTAAGAAACAAGGGAAGGGGTAGGAGTTCTGGGAGGGAAGCAGTAATTGTTGCACTGTTTTAGATTTTTTAACTTTTGGGTTTGGGATTGAGATTTTTTTAATTTAAAATACACGAGAGTAACTTGGAGTACGAGACTGCATAAAAAAAAAGAAATGAAATGTCTTGATAAGCCTGTTGTGACCGAGTTCTTTTCAACCCTTTGTCCACTTCTTACATCAGAAACTCGTACTTAGGATTAAATTTGTATGTCCCTATCACTTTTGCTTTTTCTTTTTTTTTTTTTTTTTTTTAAACCTTCAAGGGGTGGGAAGGGGAGGTGAATTTAAAAGTAAGTTTCCCTATTAGCAAAAGGTACCGTGTCTGGTCTGTGGGAAGAGCTGTGTATCTTTATTGTGCTCCATTTAGAAAATAATCAGAAAAAAAACAGGTCCCTGTAAAGTAGTTCAGACTTGCCCGGAGATTTTATTTTTTTCTTAATTTATAACAGACTACTGTGGTTTTTCAGTTGCCTGAAGAAAGACTGACATAAGTAAACTGAAGTTTTGTCTGTTAAATATGAGTATTTACTTTATTTGGTTCTGCTTTAACTATAACTGTTACTTTTCAAGTGAAATTGTTTATGTACATGCAAGGAATACTTGCATGTCCTGGAGAAGTACAAATAAATTACTACAAACTGAGTTGAATTTCCTTTTTATCCTTTTTGTATTGTGAAACTGGAAATCTTTATGATACTGTAAATTATCAGCTGGTTTTTCTGAACATAGTGTGGAAACACGGGACAATATTTTGATCTATTTGATAATTTTGTGGGGTTTTTGAAGAATTAATGAGCATGTACATAGAAATAGTGACTGCTTGAATACTGTATTTACCTGCACTCTTTCAGTACATCAAGATTCCTGTATATTTTACGGAGTATAATAAAACCCAGATGTGAGTTGTACTAATGAATAATTTATTTGTATCTATTAAGCACTTCTGGCAGTCTCTTTTGTTTAACTGGTAGAACGTGTAGAGCCTCTTTGCAAAGACTTTGCCATCCTTTTAAATCTCAAGTGAAGGGTGAGCTATGCAAATTTGGCAGTCGTTTTAGAGGAATAATTACATAATTTAATATTCAGGTTTCTTCTAGGTATTGCTTCCTTAATTCATTGTGCCTGTGTTCATTGACTGTGTGTGCAACACGCTGTTTGTCTTTCAGAGGAATTAGATGACTGGAGGAAATGACTCGATGATTTCTGCCATGGGTTACTCTAAATCTTTCAGAGTGTGGGGATTTATGTGTCCCAACTGAGGATGCAGGTAGTAATTGAAAGACTGTGTGAGATAGATTTGAGATAATATTTAAATATCAAGGTTAAAACAGCATGGACTGACTTTCCTTCGCATTCCTGTGGAAAATGGGGATCGCACTGCTCCGCAGGTCGCTCRCTTACGCTCAGCAGGTAACGATGGCTCGATCCTGTTGGTGGAGGCGCCGGATTTACGCCGCTGCGAAGGAACCTGCCGCGGGAGGCTGCTGTGGCCGGAGCTCGCCTTTCACTTGGTCCAGGACGTGGTGGGACGGGCCTCGCGCCCTGCTCAGCACCCTGGTCCCTTGCTGCAGCAGAGGCTGAGGGCGCCGGTGCTGCTGGGAACTCTCAGTCACTGCTCGCCTGGCTGGATTAGGRGAGAGAGCTCAATGGCTTCTGGCTCCAAAGACAGTGGTTTGGATCAGGCCTGTGCACAGCCCATCGCCGTTCCCCTCTCAGTGAGTACGCTTTCTGGTCGCCTCCAGTTACGTTTTTTTTGAGTAAAAACGTTTTCTGAATCTGTTTTTTAGACCTAAAGATGCATCTGCTTCTTGCTACAAATTGGTAATTGCATTTAGGGATTGAGAAGTACGTGATTTCTATGTTTTCGTTACTGGAATTTACCCAGTGACCCCACAGATTTCAACTTCCATGTTTTTGGTCATTGCTATTTAAAAGGGGGGGAAAGAAAAGCACATTAGGRAGGAGATTCATACCTGGCTGGCAATGTGAGCAGGACGATGACTGAGCCCTGTGAATAAAGGTAGAGGCTCCTATCCCAAACATGGAGCGTGATGGGTTTAAGGTACMAGATACCGAGCTTAAAGTCCACTTTCTTAATGCAGGGTCAAGAAAATTGTTTTTGTAAAACAAAGGAAATACTGTGGATGTTCTGCGAGAGCACATCTTCTTTCAGCATTTAAAATGCAACTTAACATGTTTTTTTCCTTGCCCTGTGGTCTAGTTCCTGATTTTTTAACAGGTTAATTGCTCAATACCCATCACATGGATGAAGTCCTAATAGCCAGTAAGACTATGCAAAATTACAGAGCTTAAGAATTTATTTTCTTAATGCWTTTTTTTTCAAATCTTCCAAATTTTCTTCACTACAATAAAACTTGSAYGTTGTGATACCCATTTTACCGCACTTAATCTAGTTCTTGCTGTGGAAAGAATGGTGTGTTTTACTCTTCACAGCAGGAACCTGCCATCTGGCACCAAGTGTTCATGTAAAACCTTGCAAACCATCCCACCGTCCATTAAGYGCTTCTCACAGCCACGTTGAATGCGTTTATAAACAACGTGGGAGATGTCTCAAACCCAGAATGGCCTTGAGATGACCTCTCCCTTAAATAGGGAAAACTGAAATACTTATATAGGAGAGTTGTAGATATTGAGTGCTGAGCTTCTGTAAAGCACARTGCCTTGCACAGCAGGATCAAAATTATCTCAAGGCTGTGCAGGCTTTCAGATTCATTTGATTTTTTTTTCTTCCTCCACGCTAATTGTTCCACAGATTTTTACAATAAATTTTTTCTCCAAATACTCAAGAAACAGATTTTGAACGGAATTACAGATGATTTGCCAGTAAATGGTGTCAATCTCGAGTTTGACACTAAGAAAAAAAAATCCCTGTRCTGTAGGCAGAAATGAGAACCTCACTATATGCATGCTGTATTGCTTCATGCATGCTGCATGTTACTTCTGTTACTTTCAATCTTCCATTTTTCTTCATTTTATAATGGTTTTCCACTCAGACTATAATTGTTTTCTTCCTCATTCAGTTTGAGACATGATAGGATTTAGCAGAGCCTATTACAACAATTTCTGTATTTCTCATTAGAGTAACAAAAGAGGAATGTAATTCTTCAGCAGTCATCAGCAAACATGAAAGGAACAACTGGCTGCAATGTTTATGCAGCGTGATTAGAGCATGGTTTCACCCTTTGAAATTCACAGCTAAATTCAATAATAAAAGCAGAACTAGAATCAGCAAATGTTGCCACGGATTAGATTTAAGATTATCTTAATTAGGATTACAGGAAGCCAAGAGGATTATAAATTACAATAAGAAAATTMAGCTAAAGTAAGAAACAATATTTTCCTATTACAGAACGTGAGCTGCTCTTATGTTTGCAGGGCGGTTCTGTTGCTCCCCCAGGACATAAGTGTCCAAGATGCAGCACATGGTCGAGTCTTTCAGACCAGGTGCTTTGGTTATCACTTCAAATGAGAAACCTGTTACCTGTTACACATTAAGGTATATTCCTTGAAAACCTGCATGGCTGTTTTCCGCATCAGTCCAATAGCTCTGCTAGTCCTTTTCGTACCATCGTCCATACAGAGCAGCTGTCAGAAGGCCGGAGGAGGTCCCGTTTTTGCTTATGAAATAGTGGTCGTTTTTCCAGCCCATGTGGTCAGCAAAGTCCAAGGTAACGCCAGAGGTGAGCAGTAAAGGAAAGACATAAGGAGTGCTCATGTTTGCCCAGAGCTGGAAATCCATCACGGCAGTGGCCTCCGTGACCTCCTGGCCGCAAGAGCTGAAGCGGGGCCCGCCGCACTTGACGAGCGCGCAGGCCTGGACGTAGTAGGTGCCGTGCACGGTGTGGAGCCCATCGAAGGCGCCCAGCGCGTACAGCTCCCGCGTGGGAGCAGCTCGCTGGTAACGCACGTAACAGCAGAGCGTGTTGGCACAGACCTGGAGCTCTCCCTTGTCTTCCTGGACAGGAACAAAAGTAAAATTGTCATACATCATTTCGGCATAAAATGAGGGCGATGACCCCTCACTTTGTGATACTCTGCAGGGGACCTCTTGTCCCTCCTTGTAGCAAACCTGACCATCCATCGAGGTGCTTGTAAACATTGAGTATGAGTGATGTAAATTCCCTCCGAGTATTTTGCTGCTCTCCAAACTGGTTTTGTAATCTGGGGTAATGACAGGAATTTCTGCTACTATGAGTTTGCCACCAGAGCTTTGCATGTTGTGGTAGATGAAGGATTTGACTGGGGTGTAGATGCCACTGCCCGTCATGCCCAGGGCTGGGTGATGGATGTTTGCTGCTAAAATGTTGATGYTGAAAGCGGTGGCAAAAGCTTGTTGGAATTCTACAGCAGAGAGCAGCGGCAGCTGGTTCATCCAGGCAGTGGGATATACAACTTGTTTCACCTTGTACTGCCTGACAAGGTTCACCGCAGGCTCGAAGAAAAGAATATCAAAGCAAGTGAAGACGCCAAACTTGCCAGCAAAAKGGGTATCGAAGAGCACATAGTCAGCCTCTGGAGGGGCATCGAACGCGTCCTCAAAGTACAAGTTGTGCTTGCGATACGTGGCCACCAGTGTGCCGGCGTCGTCAAACACCACGTTGGTGTTGAACTGGTACCTCCCGTCCGAGGGGCAGTGAGGATCCACGTGCTCGCAGGGCTGCTTAGTTCCCAAGTTTGCGACTAGGAATATCTTGTTTTTCAAGGCCATGCAGCTTAGCCGCTGAAGGACCTGCACGGACAGTTTGGGAAAATGTAAACACTTCAGAAAGTGGAGGACTATTACTTAAGCAACCAGGACATATTTAATACTTTTCAACTGAAAAAGTTTCAACTTTTTCAACTGAAAAGGAAACACATTTCATCTCATTTGTAAAGCTTAAATATACTGGTGGTTTTGTGGTGAAAGCTATTGGAACCAGTAGCTTTCTAAACCAAAATGCGCATTTCAGAGACCAATTTCAAAGCAGCACCGGGTTTTACCTCCAGTGAAAGATACATAAATAAATGTATCCCGTATTTTAAGGGTTTGAATTTTTAGGAACTCCTGATTGGTGCGAGAGCTGAAAAACAAGGTAGGTGAGCTGAAACCTTTGACAAGATGGCATAACTTGTCCGTGTGTGCAGATTTAGAAAGGCAAATCTCAAGTAGCAATCATTTGTACCTACAATTGTTTTGTTCTTGTAATTACGTGTATTTCTCTAAATTAAAAAACAGATGCAAGTTAACAGTTAAATCTCTGTAGAAGCTCAGCTACAAACCAATGGGTTTTGCTTACCTATAGARAAGAAATACTAAAAGTTCAACTATGGTGGTACTGGGATGCTTTTTCCAAGCTGCAGAAATCTGTACATTAATTATGATTCATTGTGATTTTACATGCAACCATGAAATTGGAATGCTCTTCTGCCAGTGGAAGAAGTCATTAAAACTGAGTAACAGGAATGAATCAAAAAGGAAGATGTACTTTGAACGTTGTTTTATGTAAGATAGCATCTTCCTCTTCGATTCACCCTAAACTACTAACAATGTATCTCATTGAACAGGTGTTACTATTACCTAAGATTGGGGCTAGGGGGAGCTTAGAAGCCCAGAGAGCTCATGAAGGTAAGAAAGCTCGTGTTCTTTCAGGTACGTATGGAAAATCCTCCTCTGTAAAGAATGAAATGGGAGTGAACTCCTCCGTTTACCTCTGTGTCATTGAACAAATGTGGCGCTGTGCATGGGTTCCACTCCACAGAGGGCGCAGGCAGAAAAAGGTCTAAATAGGGATAAATAGATCTTCTGGTGAAGTTGAAGCCGTGGATCCCGTCCTCAGGAAAAACAATGATCTGGGCCCCCTGTAGGTAAAACAAAGGCATGTTTTATGGGGACAGCAAACCCTCTGAATGCTAGCAATGACAGAAAAGAAAAGGGAATCTCCTTCAGTAAATTTCTGGGATAACCCAAAATTCTATCATAACCCTATCCCAATCAAGGATATCCCAAGTATGTTTTGACCTGAATGTTGTTTGGATGTAGCTTTTGCTCCTTTAACAGTGCAGTAGGTAYAGCCATCTGCATCAGAAAAAGTTTATTTAACCTGATATACCTTTAGCATAAAAAATAAACTGTATTGTATTYTAAGAGCATGCAAGTAAGAGCAGCCTTCATCCAAATTCTTACCAGGAATATTCTCCATCATCCTGTGTCGTAAGAATGCCACCATTCAGGTTAAAGTGTGATTATTCAAGTTAAAGAATAGCCATGATAAAATTTGTTTTAGCTCTCCAGAACGATCCCGTTTACAGATGAAGGGTGTCAAAGGTGCGATAGCACTTAGTTCTGTGAGCAGGCTCTGGTCAGAAAGGGTTTCCTCGCTTGAAATACATCTGGTTGGTACTGTTATATATATACAAGGAAGCACTGTTTTCAGAAATAGCRTAAGTATGGGAGCAACTGGCTCTATCTAGAGTTCAAGGATATCTCCTCCTAAAAATATGGTGAATTCCTCTTAAATCAGACATAGCATCAGCCACTCAGACTGCAGTAGGTTTCTAAAGAGCATCTGGAGTTTGAGGGCATTCAACACCTTGATTGTGGTGTTACATAAAAATAGTTATGTATGCAGTTTGTGAGGCCCAGTCACCCAAACTCCGAAAAATATCCACGTTTTCAAGTTGCATTAAAATGAAAATAATGTTATCATTTCTGATAACATTCTGATGTATTATTGTGTCTGATAATTCTTCTGTCCAAACAGAAGATTTTTGAAACTAATAAGGCAGCTCTCATCTACATGAGGACACAATCTTGTGCCACATGTTCTASGTGCCCCTGCTTGTGGAGGGGGGRCTAGATGACCTCTAGAGGCCCCTTCCAACCTTAAGGAGTCYATAATTCTCTGACACACTGGCCTGTTTTCTCTGACTAGCAGCCTTTGCTTTTTCCTGGGGAGAGAAGGGAGGGAAGCTATGCATGTGAGCAACCAGAAATAACAGTCTGTCTCCTCAAAATATATTTAAACAGAGGACCATTCCATCGAGAAAGGAATGGAAAACTTTCCTTCTACAAAGCTGTTAATGGTGGAACATTTGTTTCCAAAGTGCTTAACTACTTTAGGTTTTAGAAACAGTCAGTCACGAATTTCCATTGAGAGCACTGGAATAAAATCAGACACAGAGACAGCTGTCTGTATGGCAGCTTTTTCAATAAAAGCATTCCATTTAAGAAAGCAAAARGGAGCTACATATTCAGACCAAAATAGAAAATCCATTTCCCCATACAAAATAACTTTAAACTTGCTATTCCAAACTTCAAATAACTCCAGTTAGGCAAGTTGCTAATTGGCCTGATTTTTGTCAAAGCTTTGGGCAGGTCAGAATGACTGAAAAAAACAGCCCCTATGTATGTATGTATGTATATAAATCTGGCTTTAGTTGCCTGGGAACACAAATGTGGAAAATTATCCTCCAAGCGCACTTGTTCTATCCCGGGGCACTACTGCTCCCCAGCTGCAGCGTACCTGTCCTGCAGCCGCSGCCACTTGCTGCTCATAGACGTCCAGGTTTGCGGCCATCAGCGCCAGCGCAGCCGCTCGGTCCACGAGGGCGGCGGGCTTGGGGCTCAGGACGGCCTCGTGCTCGTAGACGGCGGCGACGTAGCGGCCGTCGCGCGCCGCTCCGCCGCGGGCAGCGCCGCAGCCCAGCAGGCAGAGCGCCAGCTGCCAGCACAGCTCCATCGCGCCGCACACCTGAAGCCAAAGGCAACACGCAAAATGGGTACTGTTCGAACAACGCAGCATGCCTTCAGTTTAAGATTATATGTGGACAGTAGCAAATTCTCAGCGATGTTTGAACTGTTTTTTCTTTAATTTTAGAGCAAACACGTTGCTGTTTTGAAAACTTCTTTGTGCTTTAAATAACTGCCCTGTTTAAAAATAATTTCTGAGTGTATGTTTGTCTATGTGTGCACATGTTATATATATATAACACGTTATATATATATATATATATAAAAGTTGCAGTGATATATTTTCCCTTTACAATTAGCCTTATTCATTTATAGATGTATTGCATGATATATGTAACCATCTTTGGGAAAAGCAGCTCCAGGTCATGCAGTTTCTCTGCATTTGGAGGCAGAGGGGTATATTTATGAARTAACATTTCCTTGAATTACTGGGACACTGTATTATCAAATAGCAATGTATTTTATTTTAATGATCTTGAAAAAGCAAATTGCTAGAAGGGTTATACTGGATACTCCTTTTTATCTATTTATCTAGAAAAAAAAAAATTATCTGTTTTTTCCGCCATGGAAATGCCTCTCCTGATGGATTATGGATTCAGTCTGTTCCAACTCTGTGTTATGTAGTAAGTACCAACTAATTTGTTTCATATCATGAGTTTTTTTCAGCTTCCATCTTATTTTTAACTTTTTTTTCGTGCCATATATAAATGTAGTTTTCTACCTCTAAGAGCATGTCTATGGCAAGTTAACAGGAAAACTCATTTCTTAAATTGCAGAATGAAAAGCAGCTAATAATCCTATCCTAACTTTTGTCTAAGTGCCAACGGCTTTAGTATCAACAATGGGAAAAAATGAAGCATGAGAAAATCCATTTAAAAAGCTTTTGGAAAGTGATATCCTAGTTTAAGCCACTTGTTTGCTTCAGTTTGTTTGCTCTGAGCTTCAAATGCTATTTGCAACACTGGTTTGATAGCAACACAGTCCTGGGTTGAATAGAAAGACGAGGATTTTAGTGGCTTTTTTGTCCACTGSAGCAGAAAACAAATGTTTGCTCAGTGAAAAGTAATGTATGTAGTAATATATCACATTTAAAAGGTCGAAGTGTAACTTAAATGCTGCTCAGCTCAAGTATATATTCATTTGTGTTGAGCTTTAATATGTCCAAGTTACCTAAAACACTATTGAAAACAGAATAAAGCACTGTCATCTGTAAACAGTTGTATTAAACACATTCAATTTATATAAATATTTTTGAGACCCGATGCACAATAACCTACCTTTGCTATTCTGCAKGCTGAGAGAAATAAGAATTACAGGGGGTGATGTGGCCAGGCACATCAAGGACAGCAGGTCCTGTTTTGCCCTACGCTGCCTTCTAGCTTTGCAAATGAAATCCCACCAGAATTCTGCAATGCAAAAGGCTAAGCGTATAAAGCAGTAGCAGAAAGGAGAAAAGAGGTGGGAAGCCTCTAGCAGTTATGAAAGCTACTGAAAGTAAACAGGCTGTGTTGTATTTTGATGACAAAACCATTGTATATAATTTATGTATATAATGAATATATAATGCAGCTGTCTATCTACACATCTAAAATACAGTGTCTTTTTTTCTCCTAATTCTCCTGTCAACTCCTTTTTTAATGCTGTGTCACATCTTATTACACTACCTCACTGCATAATTCTTATGGAGGTTTTTAACAGCACAACCCTAGCTCTGTGTAAACTGGTATTCTGCATTTCCATTTCTGAAAAAATGTTTATTCTGCATGTAACGCATTATGTAACCTTCTCTAGTTTCCTGGCTTGTATCCAGAGAAGCCATCCAAACACACAGAGCTTCCATAAAGACTCTTCAGGTTTCCCAAGCTTCCCACGCTTCGCTGTACAAGCACAACTGCACCCAACCAGCCCAGCTGCAGCCACCCTCAAACCTGGTTCCTCTCTGAAGACACGTGTGTTTTCTGGCTTATGCAGAGCCCAAGGCTGCTGGTATCAGCAGTTGAGCTTGAGCGGGCACGGACGGTGACACAAGGCACCACACAGCAGGCGAGCTACCTTTGCTGGCCGCCCTTTCCCGCAAGAGGCGCGACCTCGGAGCGCTGAGGAGAGGGATTCTCCGCTTGGGATCTGGAGAAGCAACACAGCTCCAGTAGCAGTTCCCACCTCCCCGCCCGCGGGTGCAGGCGTCAGACACCTGCAGCTAATAGCTAGGCCGGGCGCTGGCTGCCGCCGCGGCCGTTGGAGCCGTTGGAGCCGTTGGTACCGTTGCCACCGCCCAACGGCCGCTGCTTCCAACGGCCGCCGCGCCGAGCCCCGCCCTCCCGCAGCGCCCCCTGGCGGCGGCTCCGGGAGGTGGGGGGGAGCCACCCCCCATCCTCTGATTGGTTGGGGCTCTAGCCAATGGAAAGCCGCCCGTTTCCCCCGCAGCGGCCCTTGCCCACTAGGCCAGAGGCGGGACGCCCCCGCGGTTAGGCCCGCCCGCGGCGCCGCCTCATTGGCCAGGCGGGCTGCCCGTCAGCCGCACGGGCCCTCCGCCCCGGCCGCCGGTGCAGCGCGTTGTCCGCTCGGGGCTGCGCGCGGCCGCCATGGCCTCGGCGGGCGGCGAGGCCGTCAGCGGGGCCCAGCTCGTGGCCGAGGCCCTCAAGGCTCAGGTAGGAGCGCGGCGGGAGGCCGCGGGTACCTTCCGCCGCCGGGAGCGCCGTTCCTAGCGCAGCGCCCGCGTTCTGCGCTCCGCCGCGGCCTGGCCCGCGAGGAGGCCGCACTCACCCGCCGCGCCGCCGCGCCGCTCCCCGCGGGGGCGCCCCGYGCGAAAGGGGGAGGTGCCGCCGCGCAGCCCAATGAGCCGCCGGTGGCGCCGCCGCCGCGGAGCGGCCGTTAACGCTCCGGGGGCGCCCGTTGGCCTCACCGCTGCTCCTCGTCCCGCGGCCTCCGAGCGCCTTGCTGGGAGCCTGGCGAAACGTTTGAGCGCCTGCACCTTTGCCCTCCCGGGGCGGGTGTCACGCGCGCGGTGTCTCTTACAGCGAAGCCACCCTTCCAAGTTGTGCGTTGTCCGAAAAATCGGGCAGGTCTGACACCCCCTTTCCCCCCCCCAAAAAAAAACCCCACCAGCCTAAAAAAGAGTGACAAAAAAATAGCTTAACACTTATCAGCGTATGCCCGGGCAAGGTATCATACCTTGGGTTTGCTTCTTAGAATGTTTTATTTTGCGTGGTGAAACTGTAAGAAGCTTGGCACAAAATTTACAGTCTTCAGAAGTAGCTAGCCTGMGATCTCGGCTGTGCTGCGATGCTGTGAAAGCAGAAGGTGAAGTAGCAGAGACCTGGTGAGAAAGGAGCAGTGGGTAAAAAGGGGGCTCAGTGTGTAGTGTGGGGAGCTGGGCAGGGCGCTGAGAGAGCTCCGGCCTGGGGGGCTGCCAGCSTCAATCACAGCTTCCCACCGCAGCCTGGTGGTGTAGGGCTCACACGGGTAACGTGCATGCAGGGCTCATGGAGTCTTTGCTCTGCTCTGGCACTGGTTTTCTACTGAAAATGTAACTCTGCAAAGATGGAGGCTTTGCTTTTCTGTGAATATATAGGTTGTTAAAACTTCTATATTGCTTGTGTAGTTAGCATGACYATGTTCAATGTCTCTCTACTCAAGTTATGTTTTGGAAATGATTGTAATTTATTTTAACAATTTTCTTCTCAGAATATTGAATACATGTTTGGCATTGTTGGCATTCCCATCACTGAAATTGCAATTGCAGCCCAGGCCRTTGGAATAAAATACATAGGAATGAGAAATGAACAAGCTGTAAGTATATGCCTTTCTTTTCTGTTATCCTTTCCTTTTGCTGTTTTAGATTTAGCGGTACCCCTTGTCCTGTCATTGGCCTCCACTGAGAGGGGTTTGGCCCCATCCTCCCTACRTTCACCCCTCAGGTACTTACACATATTGATCAGTTCTCTTCTCCAGACTAAAGGTCCAGCTTGCTTAGTCTTTCCTCTCAAGACAGGTCTTCCAGTCCCTTAATCGTCATCTTTGCTCTACACTTGACCATCCGTAGAAGCTCCACATCCCTCTTATACTGGGGAGCCCAGAACTACCCCCAGTACTCCAGGTGCGGCCTCACCAGAGCGGCAGGATCTCCTMYCTTGACCTGCTGGCAACACTCTTCCCGATGCAGCCAGGAGCCCGTTGGCCTTCTTGGCCACGAAGGYGCTGCTGCCTCATGGTTAACTTGATGTCAAACAGGACTGTAACTGTACTGGTGCCTGGGGTTATTCCTGCCTGGGTGCAGGACCCTGCGCTTCCCCTCAGGAGGTTCTTCTCTGCCCAGCTCTCCAGCCTGTCCAGGTCCCTCTGAATGGCAGCGCAGCCTTCTRAAGTGTCGGCCACTCCATCCAGCTTGGTGTCATCTGCAAACTTGCTCAGGGTGCACTCCGTGCCCTCGTCCAGGTCATTGATGGGCAGATTGCACAGCCCTGGGCCCAGCACTGACCCCTGAGGSACACCACTGGCCACAGGCCTCCAACTGGACTCAGCCCCATTTATCACCCTCTGAGCTCTGCCATCCAKCCAGTTCTCTATTAGCAGTATCTCTAATTAATAGTACTTACATCCATTTTTAGGCCTTTCTTGCATACAAACCTGGTTCTTTCCTTTTTGCTGAGATACATGTTTAGTTCAGAAGATGCTCAGAGGTTATTGCTGAGTGATCTTAGAAGTGCTGTCTCTGCCGTGTTCTAGCAGTGTCACAGGAGGAAGTTGTTCCTGCTGGTAAACTTCTCCTGGATGATTTCAAGAATTTTTACATTTTTTTTCTCATAACTGAGTTTTTAAAATGTTATTTGTTGTTTCATCAGGGTTATTTGTTGACTACTAGAAGGATATCCGTGATTCTTTCAGATTCTGGACTTAGTTGCACTGAACTTGAGATACCATCATTTATCAAATGTGAAAATTTAATAAAGACAAGGGGTTATAACAAAACTAGAAATATAATAGAACTGAAAATATATATATATATAGATCCAGTTCAGAAAAATCTCTTTTTAGTTCTCATAAATTTCTGATATGGAGATGAAAAATGGCACTGATATTGAAGAATTAGATAGCCATTTGATGGCTGTTTTCATGTTCTGTGTGAACATTTACAAATATTTTTACTCTATGACAGCTGATTTATATTCATAGATATTTAGGACCGTTACAACAATGATAGTGCAGAAACACACTGTTTGTAAGCTATATCATTACATCTTGCGTAAAATCACCTGATAGTACAGGTTATGTAGAATTATTCAAATGCATTTTTTCTTAAAAATGTCAAAGTAGCTATAGCAAAGTGTGTTAAAAATGAAATGAGAAGTACTGAAGCAACTTAGGTTATAAATGACAGTCTCAGGTCTTTTAATGAGCCTTCCCAGTATGCACTTGCATACTTTGTAACTGCCAGTTTTCTGCTGGTTGCCTTTCTACATAAATCCCATCCTCTGTGTTAAGATAGAGAGCAATTGAAGATAAGTATCTTGCGTTATTCTTCACTTCCTGCACTTTTTCTCCCTTTTTGGGAGGCAGACATGTCTGGTTTTGTTATTTTTAAATCACAGATATGATATGCTTGATGCAATACCTTGGATCCTGAATTGTGGAGAACTTGAGGGTTTTTTCCTATAAACCTTACAAAACTCACATTAAAATGGGATGGGGAAGTGTGCTTCTACTTCAATACAAGCTCTAATGAYCAGGGGAATGTCTGCTTATCTTCTGTATTGTTGTTGCACGTTGTATATAATGTACCATGAAAAGGATTATATAAKAATTATATTATTAACTTTGTATTATTTTCAACAGGCCTGTTATGCAGCCTCTGCTGTTGGATATTTGACGGGCAGGTATGTTTCAGGAAACTGGGACCATTATTGTGTTTTGGTGCTGCTTTTTGTATGCATATGTGTTTGCGCAGGTGTAGGACAATTAAAATGAAATATTAATTTAAAAATTTAAAAATAATTGTCACCACAGTTACCACTATTTCTGTCGTTATGAGTATAGGAGCTCAACTTCAGTATTTAAATACATGAAACATCAACCTGTGTTTTCCTTTTTAATTTCTGAGTCGYGTGTTAAGACCATTGGTATGACAGGACAAAATTGAAGGTAACGTAGTTTGTAGCAACTTGGTGAACCTGCTTAATCTCATCATGTAGGGTTATTGTTCAGCAAATTCTCATTAACACAGAGACTGAGAACGTGTCTTTAGTCTCCCTTCTTCCTGTTGGTAAGCATTGRGGGGGCTTGTCATTTATAGACGCACGCTGTTATTTCATGAATCCTTTCTTAAAGTAAACATTTGGTGTCTGTCTATTCACAAATGCAGACCAAATGATCCAAATGATCCTTTCTTATTCTGCCCTCTAGTATTACAACTGAGTAATACAATTTTCTGTGATTTTTTTTTCTTTGTATAATCGTCTGTAACTAATTTTTTTTCGGATATGCTGTGTAAAGATTCTGTAAGACTACTAAGGAGTATTCAGKAAAGATATCTTTCATCTTGTCATCAGGGATAAGAAGTGCCTCTGCCTGTGAATTAAATTATAACAAATAAAACTTGCATCAAATCAGATGTATTTCTTTGTGAGCTTTCCTCATTGATCAATAGTGCAAAAGAAGAATTAAAAAAAATAATAAGCAAAACTGAAAATGCAGGTAGCCTGCCCAATTCCATTTTAATGTTAGTGGTAAAAGAAAGAAGGGGCTGTGTGATCACAAGGCTGAACAGAATGAGTCTGCATGTGTTGTAAAGCACCCATCATATAGATGTCTCCAACTACTCACTTCGTTTTTCAGTAGGATTAATATAGCTAAATATCCTTTATGATTACCTGTCTTTTAGTCTTTCATACACATTCCTTATAGTTGATGCACTTTGACAGGACGAATAAAAATTTTATGTTTTATACTTTCATATTTACTATGCATGCTTGTTAAGATGCATTATTATCTCTTTGTTGGTGATCCATGTGGTGTTCCATATGCTCACTTTGTTTGTTTGTTTCTCTGTTTCTCTCTTTTTGTTGCTAGACCAGGAGTATGTCTTGTGGTGTCCGGTCCAGGTTTTTTACACGCCCTTGGTGGGATGGCAAATGCAAACCTGAACTGCTGGTAATGTAACTACATTCTCTCTTTAAATGTTTAATAGTTGTCTGAAGCTATTTGTTGCAGATATTGGCCTCTGCAGTATTTAAAATGGGATTTTTTTTTCTCTTAGTAAGTAATGAGAAAATAATGAGCGTACCCTAAAAGTAATTTAACTTAATCTTTTATATTCTTATGGATAAAACTCTTTTTCTCTTGCCAGATTATGCATGTATTTTACAATATATGCAGTCGCAGTCGGGCATTATCAGAATACTCCTTGTATGCATACATTTAAAACGAAGATGTTACTCAGCCTGTAATACTTCATTGATCTTAGAAGTGTTCTGGTAGTTAATCTAAATTTTAAAAGCTTTCAACTTTCAATTACTTTCAATGCCTTTCAATTACTGTATCCTCCTTTTTATGTGAGCAAACTGACAACTGCATTGTTGAAATCTGCKCTTGCTCCCCACGCGGGTGTTTTGAGGAGTAGTTAGGCATTGAGATAAACGGTGACGAAGAGTGACAGCATTTACACTCTCAAGGCTTCGGAGCCACATAGCAACTTTAGCTGGCCTGCCTCTAAAAGCTGTTTGTGTGCAGTGCCTGGAAGTGGAAGATGTGGTAATATGAAGCACATTTAACTTGGAGCATTAGCAGTCGCTCACCRATGAGCGTTTAATAATGGAAGTTCTAAGAGATGAAGTCTCTGTCTTTTTGGGAAAAGACTTTTGGTGTTCAGACTTCTTAAAAGTTGCTGGCTAAAGTCTTGCTTTTGCTGTATAACTTCAGGTAAAATAGATTTTGCAGAAACTTTGCTTTTGAACAGTTATGCATTTGGCTATAAGGAATAAGCATTCCTAGTACTTGGTTTTTGATTTGCAGGGGGCATTTCCCTTTCACCACAAACTGCTTTTTATCTAAGATAAGCTTTGTTTACCTGACTTTATCTCATATAAACCTGTACTCTAGGCAAAAGGTGAAGGAATGACTTACCTACTTTGGCAGAAGATTTGACAATATGAGACAGACTAAAGTTCTAATTTCAGTATGTCAAAGGGTTAAAATCGAGATTTCAGATTGTGGCAGAAAAGTGATCTGATTATAAAGCTTGGTTTTATATCCAGATATTSTCAAGAATTATGTTTTTAGTACACTCTAAATGTTTCGGCATAACATTGTGTAGTAATATGTCAAATATAGTCAAAGAAAAAGTGGTGTGTTGGGAGAARTTGCTTTAAGAGCTTGGACAGCTTCTGTGTATAAATAAGCCAACTTTCTCTTACTGATGGAACACTTATTAGTTGATGACATTTGAATTTGACCTGCAAAACAAATGAGAAACTGATTTTCATTCTCTGTAGGAGAATAATTTAATATGTTTTGTATAACTGATAATAAGAACATATGCCGAAGGAATACATAGCCTGTGTAGTAAGCCAACACTGTGTATGTAAGGATATAAACCAGTKTACAAACAGGATGATTTGTAAGCATGTTAAGTTGCTGCTCATCTCTTTGGTCTTGATGTTTTCTGCAAAAATTGAATGCAGGGAGAGCTGCTGTCCAAAACTGGTCTAATTTGTGCCAAGTTCCAGTTTGTATATAAAGACAGCCTAGTCTGTCTGAATAGATTGGTTTTCTCCTGTTTCCTGGTTCTAATATTGTGTACTTGGTCTTGTCTCTTAAACARGTATCTTAGACCTTTTTAGATCAATGGAATCCTGGCAGCTCTTGTCACTTCTCTCACGCCACGCTTTTTTTTGTGCTTTTCTAGGCCTTTGCTTGTTATTGGAGGCTCTTCTGACAGGAATCAGGAAACCATGGGAGCTTTCCAAGAATTCCCACAGGTACACAGAAATAACTTTCTTCAGAAAGGTTTCAGGTAAATAATCAGTGGTGTGTCTGTTCTTAGGAAAAAGTGTCCACACTAGTTCTTACAGTGCTGTTGATTGGCTGCCTCTACTGGTGTAATATTGAACCTATGTCAGGCACCTGATTTATTTGAAATGTGTCTGTGTGGTCATGCTAGAATTCATACTTTGTTCTAGATTCTCAGCTGTTTTAAACTGATATTGCCTGTCTGTTTTGAAGTAGAAAAAAAGGCAAAATAAATTTCTCAAGAAAATAAGCACTMTGTTTTGTTTTAATAAAGAAAGAAAGAAAACTTAATAATTCATTCCATTGAGTACATCTTTGACAGTTTCTACCAGCTGAGGAACTGCARTTTTGCTTGCTTTTTGTATGTCAGTGTCTCATTCATGCTGAAGTGAGAAATGAGCAAAAAAGCTTACTAAATCAATAAAGTGGCTATATGCATTTTATTCATTTTAGGTTGAAGCTGGTAGGCTGTACAACAAATTAACTGTCCGTCCAAGCAGCCTAGAAGTTATTCCTGCTGTTATTGAAAAGGTAAGAAAAATAATAAACAAGAAAACACCAAGTAGTAGTCTTCTTTTTGTGTATGTGTATTTTGGGGGTGATTCCAAATAGCTGTTGATCTTGCAAACTGRTTAGGTGATAGCTGATTGAGCAAATCTCTTTAACAGGCAGCAAGGCTTTTCCTGTGAGTTGTTTTRTGGGAGGTCAGAAGTAGATGCTGAGTATTTAGTCTAATACTGTGCATCCACTGGAATGCTTCAACAGGCAGGGAGGGGAAATGTAAATGGCTATCAAAGCTTAAATATATTGGTATAAATCAATCCATGGGAGCTTTCCTGGTGGTGCATTAGCAAAATCAATCAATGTGTTCGTTTACCAGCTACCAAAGGAACTTCTTTGTTGTCTTTTAAGTATGAACATTTTCCTAAAATCTTTCCAAATGATTTTTAAAGTTGTGCTTATTTATTTTCTAGGCCGTGAGGACCAGCATATATGGTCGTCCAGGTTCCTGCTACATTGACATACCTGGGGATTTTGTAAATCTTCAGGTGAATAAGAGCTCTGTCAAGTACGTGCAGGTTATATCCATTATTTTTCAATTTGTTGTATAAAAAAAGTTAAAGTTCTGACTTTTCTTTCACTGTATTCTTTTCTTTCACTGCAGGTACGTGGGATGCTGCCTGCCTCCTCCCCTCAGCATGGCCGAGCAGTCCGCAGTGTCCGAAGCAGCGTCTGTCCTTGCTCAGGCTGAGCAGCCTCTCTTGGTCATCGGCAAAGGTAACTTGCCTTGATGCAGCTTGGAACTGTCCAGAGGTGGGACAAGGACAGTGGCCAGAGTGATTCCTTTCCCCATAAGCATTGCCTGTTTCCTTTTCACTTTCTATATAAAAGTTTCTTTGAGGCTTGAGGTTAAGTCTCCTGCTTGCAGAAAAGCAACATTTATGCAAGCGAATAAAAACAGTCTGTGTAAACAAAGAGAAAAATTTGTTGATCAAGTGTCAAATGGAAATCAAATAGAAAAAATTAGGTAGCCATTATCTTATGTGTAGAGCTGGTTCACACAGATCACATCCAAAACTCCAAAGTCCTCCAAAATATGGAAATGCTTCTCTCTTACATCTATCTAATGCTGTCCAGTATTTAAAGCAGGAATCTAATCAAATGTTACTTTATCATATGGACTTACTAAAAGTGCCAAACTACTAATGAGGGGTGGACATGAAACCACACAGCGGATATTGATGCTGTTACAAACGTGAAATTGCATCCTGTCAGTGGAGGTGTCCCTAGAGATGAAGGTTTCTCTGTGGTGCACTTCTTTTTTTCCTTTTTAATTTTTTTTTTAATATTTATTTTCCCTTCTGGAGGAATGGCAGTTACTACACCTTTTCTGTTGCAACTAGGTTCATTACTAACAGAATTAAAATAAACTACAGTCAGGCCATTTTTCTGAAGACCTGACTGTGAATAAGTAGAAAGAAAAATTATCTTCACCAGCTCTTCTCTGAAACTTTTTTCTTCAGTGAAGACTCATAATTAGACCTGTCTGGGCAGATTGTCATGGAGCATGTAATAAAATGTCATGGACAGGGCAAACAAAAAACAAACAAACAAACAAACAAAAAAAACACATGATGCCTTTTAGTAGGAAAGTCTCTGCTCCAGAACACAAAACTTCACCAAAAAAAATCTGTCACTTAAGATRAACAAAACTGTGTATTTTCTCCCTGCTCTGCCTCTTAGAAGTGGCTAGATATTTTCGACTGAAGTTTTGAAATGCCTTTCATCAAAAAAATGGGAGAGTTGAACTCCAATRCTTCATGTTTGGTTATATTTTGAGTTCTGCAGAATGAAGGATGGCAGGCAGGCTTTGTAACAGGAAGTAGTGCTGTCTCTCTGCCAGTAATGTAATCACTAATTGAAATTTTAGGTAAGTGCAGTACATTTCTGGGATCATGTTTTTCTCTTGTTTTAGACCTTAGTCCAGTAATGCTTTTAGCCACACCTGTATCTTCAAATATGRGTGTTTAAGGTCACTGAGACTGTCCACGTACTGACGTTAGTCAGATATTTAACTGTGTGTGGAAAAATGAACTACAGGAAGATCATAGTTTGTGTTGGTATTAAGTAGACTCTTTTTCTTCCCTCAGGTGCTGCTTATTCACGTGCTGAGAACAACATCCGAAAGCTGGTGGACCTTTGTGGGCTGCCTTTCTTGCCCACACCTATGGGGAAAGGAGTGGTGCCTGATAACCATCCCAACTGCGTGGCTGCAGCAAGATCCACGTAAATAGGAAGCGAGGCTTCTAATCCTACCATCTGGGAAATAACTAGGGATTGTGGTGTTTTGCCAATACCAGGGAAGACAAAACATGAACATCAAAGTCTTTTCAGCTACATTTTACCCCTTATTTTAGAGCCCTGAAGATGTTGTGTGGAAAGATGTGACAAACATTGGTAGATTACTTCTGACRTGGCTTAGAATACGGGTCAGGAAGATGTTTTGTCTGAGTGCTAATTTCTATAAATAAGAGGCCTGTGGCAGGTAACTGGATCRACATTGTGATCCATCGTGTTACGAAACACAACCTTTGTGGACAACGTTTGTGTTTTGTAACATAAAGTGAAACTGGTGAACAGCTTACATATTCAGCTTGGTGCACTAGACAAGACATGTTTATAAGAGCTGGTTGGTTCTGGCTGTGTGGAAATTGATRTAAATGAACTCCAAGGACCTCCTTAGGTATGAGCAGGCATGAAGTCGCCTTGCAGGGGGACATTTGTATCCTTTGAGGTTAAAACATTTGATCACAATTGAGCGTTATAGCTTTATTTTTGTTAACATGGTGTTTAGAAGAAATGAAGAATGAAAGAATATACCARATATTGTAGACACAGCAGAAAGGCAAATTAACAAGAGCTAAACTGAGATCTCCAAGGCAATCTTTAGTTTTAGCACTATTGCCTATTGACCTCATTACCTTTATAACACCTCTAGTGTAATGAGTCCTTGGTAAAAGGACATTGGTAAAAGCACATTGGTAAAAGAGTAATAAATTCTTTCCTTAATTTCCAAAATTCAGTAATGGCCTTGATGAATGACTGATTTGAAAGAAATCATTTGCATTCTTGGAGCTAGGCAAACAGCTCAGAGGGGGAGAGAATTACTTGCATGTTTTTGTTAGGTTTGCTGTGTCAACTAGGATTACTTGTAGTTTTGAAAACTACTAATTTAACAATATTTTCTCCTCACCTGATTCTTGCATTTCCTTTGATTAGGGCATTACAGCATGCTGATGTAATCATATTACTTGGTGCCAGGTTGAACTGGATTTTGCACTTTGGCCTTCCACCAAGGTTTCGGCAAGACGTAAAAGTTATTCAGGTAAGCAGGAAAACCACTGTCCAGTGCAGGAAATCCTCTGTGTTATAGCATTGTCCAGAGTAATTATTGTTATGTATTTTAGTAATCAACTTCAGGAGAAGTTATATATGCCATCAACTTCAGGAGAAGCTATGTATGTTGGACAGTGCAATACAATGCATATAGTACAGTAATTCTGAGGAAGTTATTATGAGTTTTTTTCCTGTGTTTTCCTTTGCGTTTTCTGAAATATTTACAGAATTGTTGTAGCTATCAAGGGCATAGCACTGCTATAATGAGAAGGACAGACATTCTGTGTAGTTAACTAAAGCAGCATTAGATTTGTGATATATGGAGTTTGTTGATCAAATTTTCTTGATGTTGTGAGAGCCGGTTGTACTGCTTGCTGAGCTGGGCTTCTTGAAATAAAACTACCTTCAGATCCCGAGCCAGTCATTCATTCAGAAAGCACTATCTCTCAGGAATATTAATGGGAAGGGAAGAAGAAAGGCTATTTAACTAATTGGTGCATTTGGCAATCTGCCAGATCTTAGAAGGACAAACTGTTAAACTGATTGTCCTTAAAATTCTGCCTTCAGAGCTTATGATGCAGGAGCAGCAGTTTATTCACTGTACTGACCAGTCTGCTTTCAGTGAACTTAGTCACAGCTTCCAAGTTTCCACATATATTCCAGAAGAATAATACAGTTTTTCAAACTAGAGTTTCTATAGTTTAATGCCAATTATCTGTCATAGGTTAGTGTTAAAATACTAACTCAGTTCACAGTCTGTGAGATACCGTGATAAATCAGTATTTCACCTAACCTTAGTGGTCTCAAGGGTAAGGAAAATTGGAAAGTTCCCCCTGTGGTCACCATTTACTTTCTGGTTTTGTTCTTACAAGCCACATTGTTACTATTAAGCAACATTCACAAACCTTTTTGAACGACAGAATTACTGTTGTGCAAAGACTCTGAGTATCCCCAGATAGAGGCTTCTAGTTCTCATACAAGTGTCACTAAAACTCACCACTTTTGTTCCTGTTCTACTAAAGCTCTACATGGTGTGTAACAGCGTGAAGGAAGCTGTCAGTTACTAGGATATGTATTAAGTTTCATTAATATTAGATATATACTTATTTTTAAATAAAAAAACTTTTTACCTTAAAAAGCTTTTCTTGACGGCACTTCAGTTAGAAATAGAAAGTTATTTTACAGCTTTACAAATTGTTAGAAAATGTTTGTCTTTGTAACTACTTGAACTGGAAAAAAAAATCCTTAATATCTTTGAATTAATTGTGTTTTTTTGTTGGTTTTTTTTTAATATAGATTGATATTTGTGCAGAAGAACTGGGGAATAATGTGAGGCCAGCTGCAAGTTTATTAGGTGACATAAACACCGTGACTAAGCAGGTAATATCAAGTGTCCTCTTGTTTGACTTTGGTTTCTTTGACTTATATAAAAGAAGTCACCAATTTTTGATTTAAAAAAAAAAAAAAAAAAAAAAAAACCTTAAAGGAAAGACATTTCTCAAGCAACATAATCATGCTGTGCATCCAGTCTAGTCCCAGATTAAATGTTAAAGGTTCTGTTCTGTGTTACTGTAATTGGACTGGGATCTTCCTTGATAGTGTTATTCTTGGTGCTTTTGATAGTCTTGGATATGTTGAAAGAAGCATGCAATATTTTAATGTTTTCTAGCTTTTAGAAGAATTCAGCAAAAGACGATGGAAGTATCCATCCAGTTCACAGTGGTGGAAGAAGCTAAGAGAGAAAATAATGAGCAATGAAGAAAAGTCAAAGGTAGTGTTTTATTAAAGAAACAAGAGGAGCTTTCTTTCCTTAGCAGTACTAATGTTTAGTCAGCCTTAGGACTGATCTGTGCCCAAACTCCTCTTTAGGACTTTCATGTCACTCACACTTTGAAATTCTTGCCATTTTCATATAGAAAACTATGTGTTTTGTCAAAATACATACAGTGTGGAGGTCACTGGGCTTTGGAATTGGGTTCATAGAACCAATAACAGACCACATCTAGAGCTGCTGTGTTGTGAGCATTGCTTATAAGCAGTGGGTAGGTGGTCTGGTGGAAGCCAGAATATGTATTATGTGAATATGTTTTTTTCTTCTGTAGTTGTGCCGATTTCAATGTAAGTGTTCAGCAAAGCTGGTGGTAATATAATCTGTATTCAAAGCAAGTAGCTGTTAAGGCTAAAATCCTACACACAGGGAGTATATGCTTGATTTTTACAAACAAGGTAACTCATGTTCTTCAAGTTCAGATGCCTGGTTGCAAGACTAGGATCTAAAATAGGTATTTTCAAAGAGATGACCTTTTCTGATTTACCTCCCAACATATAAGTGACAACTCACAATTATTAACAGTCAAACCASTGTCTCTAGATTCATGTCCATCTCGGGTGAACTGAGTTAATAGGAAATTCCTGTTGATAATAAGGAAGGTGGGGGAGCTGATAGCTGATGTGAGCAAGCCTCTGATAAATACCTTGTGTCCTCAAAATATGTAGGTGCAGTAAGGGTGACTTTGATGGCTTCAAACATCAAAATAATGCATGGGAGGCCAATCTTTTTCAACCTTATTTAGGGGAGGACTTTTTTTATATCCGTAGGATTATTTGTACGTAAATTTGTACATTTGTGCTTAGGAGTTATGAATATCTCTTATTCTTAAGGAATTAGAACTACAGAACTCACTGCCTATGAACTATTACACGGTCTTCCGCCACATCAGGGATCTGATACCCAGGGACTGCATTTTGGTGAGCGAGGGGGCAAACACCATGGACATCGGCCGCACCGCGCTCCCCAACCACCAGCCCCGGCAAAGGTGAGGGATGGGCTGTCTCGTGCTCACCCAGTGGGCTAGACTTATACAGAGTGGTTTTTCACATGGCCAAGAAGTACTGGAGGTGATTKGTAGTTTTAAGGGATTTTAAATAATTGTTCAATATGTTGTTGGCCCTTAAGCCCTCCCTCTATGAAAGTCAGGGTACCCTCTCTGCTAGTGTGCTGTCCTATCATAGTGTCCTATCATACTGAATTCCCTAATGTGGTTCTTTTTGTCTGTGCTCAAAGTGAATAGTAAATACATCTAAGTATATATGTATATATGTTTGTATGTTACATGTGTGTGTATATGTATGTAGTGCTGTCGTGAAGTAAAATCTTTGATATTGTAGCCCTTTATATGAGGAGAACTCGAGATGAATCAGCTACTTTTGAAAACTAGATTTTGTATTGAGACTTTCAGGTAAACTTGCTTGAAACGTAGGCACCCCAATTTGGAAGTGCTGGTGTGCTACCTTCTGAAAGCTAGGCCACACAGAATGATTGAGAGTGGGACTCAAGTGCTGGCCCTTGAGCAAGGGGGGAAAATGTGAGTTCTTTCTGCTGAGGTGAAACTTCTGATCTGATGATAAATCTTAGAGTCTTGTAATGAAAGCARTATTGTCATAAATAAACTTTTTGTGTGTGTGAAGAAAGAATAAACCATACTTTCAGAGAAGTTTAGGGAAGAGTTTGCTCCTTTCTTAGATAAGGACACAGTGATATTAATGACTGTCTCTTCAGATAGCATTGTGTATCTGTGAAAGCAAATTTGAAAAGTTAACCCTAGAATAATTTTGTTCTTCATATACTTTTGTATCCATTATGTGCTTCTGACTGAGAAGATCTAACTTAATTACATCTTGCAATTTGATTTTCAAAAGTTGAACAGAAGACTAGAGTTTGAATAGTATAATTTAGCTGATGGCTTTGAGACTTCTAGTTAAATTTTCAGAGAATTAAATACAGAAAGATTTCATGTAGTCTGCCTATCTCTACAGTAATTGAATGTGGTTGAATGTGGTTGAAATATTGCTACTTTGGAAGCTAAAAGCACACAAGAATGCTTCTTTATTGTAATACTAGTAGTGTATAAGAGTTCCTGCTAATAGCTACTTTATTTTGAGTTCAAGTATGTGCATCAGTTAAAACATTTGCAATATTAATCTAATGTTTGACTGAAAAAGCAGCCTTTACAGGTAAGTAGCAAAAACTGTAATAATATTCATATTTAGTACTCTTTAATTTTCTGTGAAACAATATTTGTATATGATAAATTCTTCCAGAGGAGTAATCGTGGATTAACTGAATTGTACGAATTTCTGTGCTTAAAGGGATGGTGATTCTGTGGTTTCTCCTCCAGACTTGATGCAGGTACATTTGGTACGATGGGAGTCGGACTGGGTTTTGCTATAGCTGCTGCAGTGGTGGCTAAAGACAGAACACCTGAAAAACGAGTGGTCTGCATAGAGGGTGACAGTGCTTTTGGATTTTCTGGCATGGAATTGGAAACTATTTGCAGGTAGCTGCTTTTTTTCCAAGAAAATCCTCTTTGTGTATTGCCATAATCAAGTTACCCTTCCTCCTTAGCCTTCTAGTTATTCCTGAACTCATGGAAAACAAACCAGAGCATCCACATAGTCATTTTTCACATAGTCATAGCCATTTACATGTGCCTGGGTTGATATTCAAGGCTTATTTCCTCCAAGCTCCAGGATAGTCCAACCCAAAGACCAGGAAATAGAGCAAAGGGGACAGGAACTTCTCCATATGAGAAAAAGCTGGGAGAGCTGGGACTGTCCAGCCTATGGAAGAGAAAGCTGAGGTGACACAGCACAGAGGCAGTGGTCATAGACTGAAACCAAGCAAGTTCCACCTGAGGCTAAGGAAAACCCTCTGCCTTGGGGGTGACTGAGCACCAGAGCAGGGTACCCAGAGAGGTTGTGGAGTCCCCTTCCTCACAGACAATCCAAAGCCATCAGACATGGCCCTGGGAAGCCTGTGCCCGATGACACTGCTTGAGCAGGGAGTCTGTATCAGGTTGTCTCTAAAGGTCCCTTCCCATTTCAGCCGTTCTGTGAATCTTCTCTACCTACTCTTCTGGCATAATGTATTTTTTTATTAATAAGAAGTAACACTTGAACTCCTTGCAGGAAGGTGCAATTTTTTTTTTTTTTTAATTTTTTTTTTTAAGATACAATTTACCAATCCTGATTATTGTAGTGAACAACAATGGGATTTACACTGGTTTGGATGCAGATACCTGGAGTGAGATGTTAAAGTCTGGAGATCCTGCTACATGGTGAGTGTCTTCAAAGTGTGTCTTGTTAAGGAAAAAGTAACCAAATTGATCAGTCTAGATACTGGTTCCTGATCCAGATTAAAATTTGTCTCAAAGTGAATTTAATTCTAAGTTAATCTAAATAAGTAGTGCAAAGCAAAAGCAACAGCCCTATTTACAGGTTACTGTTTATACAACAGTGTAGCACAGAGATGACTTGATGAGTCGTTTCAGGTCCCTGGGGCACAACAAGCCCCGTAGTTCAGTGTACACAGTGAGCAACAGTCCAGAATTGTGATAACCTCAAAAACCACCTGACATTTTAAGTTTATATCGTGGCTTTATAATGGGCTTCTGCTTCATCTCTGTGTGAAGAGAGCTCAGTTAAAGGCCTGCTCAAGAGGGTGTCTGGAACATGGAAGTCAGTAATGCTGCAAATCAGTAATGCTGCAAACATAGTGTGAGCTGCATAGGAAACAAAGCTCTCCCAGCCCAGAAGACTTCATCAGGCCAGCACAAGAATCATCTCCTGCTTTAAAATCAGTGCTGAAATAATTGGAAAGGGTGATGCTGGCAGCTCTTCAGTGCCATTAATCAGAGTTCTCCATTTGGTACAGCGCTCCCCCTGTTTCTCTGCTGCCAAACTCGCACTACGAGCGAGTGATGTCCGCCTTTGGAGGGCRAGGGCACTTCGTCACGACGCCGGAGGAGCTGCGGAGCGCGCTGAGGGCCAGCGTGGCGGACAGGCGCGCGCCTGCCCTTATAAACGTCATGATCGATCCGCGCTCCCAGAGGAAGAAGCAGGTGTGTGGCTGCTTTCCTGTCTTTTTCCGCAAGCTTCCTGTAGGTGAGCCTGATAAATCCTCATGGAGCATCAGTGAAGCTACTGACAAGTCAGGGATGGTTCTAAGGCGAAAAGTTCCCCACAGAGATGGGGAGATCAGGAAGCTGGGGCGTTTGCACTACACCACGTGTTCTTTTTTTCCTTTTTTTTTTTTTTTTATTGGCTCCTACTAATGCATGGCTCTTTAATTGCTGTTATCAGAACTGACAGTCGTTCTTTTCCTGACAGACTAAATAAGACAAAGAACATTTTTATGAGCAGTCTTTCATTTCCTGCACATTCCATCTGGTAGTTAATGCAGACTTGTACCCCAACTTTCCTACTCTYGGGTCTGATTTTCTTTGATTGCTTTTTTGTTTTGTTTTTTGCTTCTAGGAATTTCCCTGGCTGACTCGTTCTAACCTGTAATGGAAGATGGAGAGTGGTGCTGCAAAGCGCGATGCATTAAGCAAAACTAAAGCCATTCCCAGGAGTGGAACTGGTACAGATGTCTTTCTATAAACAGTGAAACAAATTAGGATCTTAATCTCAGCATTTAAAGATTATTCTAATATCAGCAGTCGTAAAAAGAACGAGGTGCTTTTGAATGTATACCAGRCTTTCTAGCAGAGTGCACAGGGAAGTGGATTCTTGAACCTTTTAAAGTAAGATCCATAGGAGGGGTAAGAAGTACAAAAAGCTACAACCCTTATAATGAATTCAGTTCACAAAGGGGTGAAAGCCTGTGGAGCAGGCAGCGCTTCTGTGGTCTGTGGGGGTTCTCTGGAAGAAATTCAGAGTGAAAACACACATTGAATCTTGTCACAGATTTTACTGGTTTCATTCTTTTTAACAATGAATGAATTATTTTTAATAAGATGCAGTGATTAGACACAAAACACTCTAGTGATATAAAATGACCATAAAAGATGATGTTGGTGCTGACCAAAGGGGAGATCATTTGTTTTGGTTAAACAAATGCAAGAGTTTTTGTTTTATATTTGAAAAATCAATAAAAAGTAATTTTCTTGCTCTATCTCCTTTCATTTGGGTTTGTTACTTATTGTATTTGGGTTTATCAGCTGCTGCCCATCCCTTGGTACCATGTTTGACATCAGAGATGGATTTAAGGGGGTTGCTGAGCAGACAAAACTAGTCTGAAAACAAAACAGTTCTAGCAGAGATCAGAAGAACCAGAAACAAGAATGTGTTTATGTTATTTAAGGGGCTTGACTCCTTCCTGACTAATACAGAGAGAAGCCCTTGGGCACCCCCATCCTTACTGATGATCTGAGATCAAATCGGGTGTTAGCTGATCATGACGATGACACAGAGGCCACCTGAGTTTTACCTGTTACTTAAAACAGTACTAGAATGAACAGGAAGCGGCTCTTTGGAAGCAGAGTTTGGCTGTTCTGAGGATGATGGTGTGATGATGATGTGATGGAAACCAGATGGTCAAGGTTTAAAGAGATCCTCAGGAAAGCAGACCCTTCCAGCTATTTATGGCAAACACTAATATAAATGAAAATGCTTTCAGTGTCTGTTCTTTCCAGGAATCTCTAGGCTGCCTGAAATAGTGCAGAAAGAAGATGTAAGAGAGATTAGTAGAATGGCAATGAGTGCTTGCTTGAGTCCATATGCCCAAGAGTCCATATGCCCTTATGGACCCTCTTGGTCCATATGCCCAAGAGTCCATATGCCCTTTTTCATCAATCTTTCCTTCATGGGAGGTGTGGAAGGGAGAAAAAAGGAAATGCAGCAGTAAAAATATTGTGTGCAAGGGTTTAATCCAGCCTTTCTTGACCTTTTTTCATTTGTATCAACTAGCTTGTCTGAGCAAGCCAAGTAGGAAATAGTTGCACGGTCTCCTTGGGTGGATTCTGTCTGTTCTGGGTGCCGTGAAGAGCAGCCTCTGAAGAAAGTGTTCACATTGCTGGGTTTTGAAGAGCTGTGTTAGCAGCCCAGCTAGGGCTGTGTAAGTTTCTACAGGCACAGGAACTTCAGCAACTTCCCCATGTTACAAGTTGTTCTAACTTCTCACGCAGTTAGTGGGAGTTTTGCCTATAGCTTAGTGATGATGCTCCCAGCTGCAGAAGGTAGGGGAAGGTTCCCCCCCTAAGCCTTTTACACCCTAAGCCTACACAGCATCTAATGTGTCCATGGCCCCTGACTCTTTCCAGAYGTACTGTCCCTGTTAGAGCTCCATGGTGGCTGAATAAAAGTCTGATTAAAYCAGAGGTACTAAATATTAAAAGAAAAAAAAGTGACACTTTGCTCAAGGAGGATTTATGGCTTTTCAAAGGGTGTTGCAAAAGGTGCCGGTGAGCTCAGGTTCAACCTCGCCAGCTTTCACCGAGAACAGCATGTCCTTCTGGCAAGGAGTCAGGGCTGGGGTTAGGAGTGAAAGACCCCATTAGCTTCCAGCTCCCTCCACAGAAGCTGTAATATTCATCTGCTCCCAAGAAGACAAAAAACCCCCAAAAAACTTAATATTTCAGCCCTGTGAGGAATTTGAAACTGCCATAGGTGAGTAATTGTTGATGGACCTTATTCAGGCCAGCTGAAACTAGGGGGACTTTTGTTACTGAATTTAGCATGAGCGAGAGCTGATGTCATTCCAAGTTTGCTTCCACCCATGCCAAGTAGTCCCTCGGCAGCGATGGCGTTAATACAAACAACTGACCCTTCAAGAATGGAGCTTTATGCAGGGAAGGCCAGTGCAGCCTTGGTGGAGGCCGTGAAGCTCCGTGCAGGGCTCTCGGCTCGAGCCCTCACGCGGCACGAGGGGCCTCGGCTGCCGCCCCGTAGCGGGTGGCGGCACCGTGAGGCGAGGCGAGCGCCTGGCTGCGCCACGTGTTGCCAGGGCCCGGAGCGCCCTCGGGATACAGAGCCGGGAATGCTGCCCAGGCCCAGAGCGCCCTCGGGATGAGGGGCCGGGAACACCACCCAGGCCCAGAGCGCCCTCGGGATGAGGGGCCGGGAACACCACCCAGGCCCAGAGCGCCCTTGGGATACAGGGCTGGGAATACCACCCAGGCCCAGAGCGCCCTTGGGATACAGGGCCGGGAACGCCACCCAGGCCCAGAGCGCCCTCGGGATACAGGGCCGGGAACACGGTCCAGGCCCAGAGCACCCTTGGGACACAGGACCCCCAGCCCATTGCCAATTCCCAACCTTGGGAACTGGCAGGAAACTTGACATCTGCTCTGAGGCACAGGCCTGCTTCCCTGAGCAGGAGTGGCGGCCTCAGCATCTCAACTCGTGTGCTTGAGGTTTCGCTCATGGTTAGGTCTTCTCCTGAAGCGCTGGTTTTTGGCCACCCGTCTGACCTGCCTCCTCGGCTGGCAGCTGCAGTGTCTGTGAAAAGAGCTGCTGTCCTCAGTGTCTAAGTGCCTTAGGATTCCTGTTCCCTTACACGTTAGGCTGTGGTGTAGCTGCACTGCCAGCATCCATGAAACTCTCTGCACCAGAGTAAGCATTAAAGCAATAATGTCAACGTTTTTCTAGAAAGAATCTTCCCAGAGAATGAAAAAAGAAAGATTGCCCTGTGGTGTTTAATTGATTGTGCTTCTTGGCAGGCTAAATTATAAATCACGTCAATTAGGAGTCATGAGAGCCGGTTACTGCCAGATAATTTTTTGTCCTCCATCAGCATTGCAGTGATCCCAGTGCAAGCAGCAAACTGCGCAGACCTTTACTAATAAAAGTAAATAATAACAAATAGACAATCCAAACAAAGATAAGATGAAAGAATTACCCTGAAAGCTACTCTGATGTCCTCTAGATGTAAATATTAAGAATAGACAGGGTTATAGCTGTGTATGAATCACCCTGCTAGGAGGCCAATGGTTGTTTATCCACTTTCCACTAGCTGTAACTGTAGGTCTCAGCTGGCCACTGGTCCCCTCCTCAGAGCTGTTYGTACACATGGATTTCCATGGACACCCTCATTTTCTGACCGGAACTTCTATGAATAGTCCTAGGATTTTGTATGCTTGCTCAGGAGTTTCCTGTATCTGTCAGTTCTGGAGGCATCCTTGGTTCTGTGCAGACTGCAGACATGGATTAGGGCTGTGTCATATCCAAGAAGCATCAATATCAATACCTGCCTGTGTCCCATGTGATGGTTTGCTCCTTTGCGTTAAACTCAGCCCTAGAACATCTTAGATGTGTGCTGTATGCACCAAAAACCCATCCAKCATCTTCAGGAGCCATCGGACTTCCTGCACACTTGATCAACCCACTCAGCAAGTCCCAGGACTCCTGCCTAAGAGGGTCCACACAATGTGCCCTGCAGGGTGTTCTGGAAGCATCAGTTTTCTTCACCCCTGCCACCTATTTCTGCCTTGAATGTCTCAGTCAGAAGCAGAGCAGTTCTACCATGGTGCAAAATGCTTTATGATCTCACAGCAAATGCTACGTAATTTACAGTCTGAAAGACAAGGCAGTTGAAACAAACAAGATCATGGAAGGGAGAATAATGTTATAAAGGTCAGTAGCTAAATTATTGTCTTCTAATTGTTTTGTTTTGCTGTGCCTTCCAACGTCAAAAGGTCACAGCAGGATTAGTTCTTCTGATAACTTTGATGGAAATCACTTGACATTACCCAAAATCCATAATCATGTTTGTAGCCCTTTTCTACTCCAGTTTGTTCCATTTTAATTAAGGGGAAAAATGTATGCATGGCGATTAGTAATAGGAAAATGAAAAGAAAGATGGACCCTTGGAAACGTGCCTAGAGGATGTGTCAACCAGAGGGTTTGGTAAAGACAGAGAGCACCAGTTCTGTCAAACTGATCCACTGCTCCATGACCTGATCCCTGCAGGGTGACCAGCRTGGGTGGAGATGCAAAATACATTTGGGCTGTCTTGTGTGGTCAGGTTTAGTTCATCACAAAATTAGTGAGTCTTTTCCTAATCAGACTCCAGAATTAGTTCCAAATACAAGAGAAAAACAAAACCCAGTCTTTGTTTCTCTGCATTTCTTTTCTACTTCATCTTTTCTACCTCAGCAGCTGCCGTTGTACTTGTAGAAAACACCTTCTTCCAAAGTAATGCTAGCTGTGTTGTCAAACTATTAAATATAGATGCTAAGCATGACTGGTATATGCATGCAAAAAACAGGTATTTTTGTTGTGAACAACAGTTGTTGCTAAATGACTAGCAAGTTCTGCAAGGAAAACGTAATTATAAGGAGCCTTTTCCATCTCCTGCACTAATTGAAGGAGCAGAATTCTGTACTACTTTGCTGACATAATTTGTTATTGAATTATTGCATTAACACAGAGTTGCTGTTTTGCCTTTGCCCTACTCAGCAGAAGAGATTTTGAACTAGAAAATCTTGATCCTCTTTTTAATTAAAACTGTGTTCAAATAGGACGGTGAGATTGCTTAATGTCTTAAGTACATTAATTTTCCCCTGGCTTGCAAATGAGGGACCTGTCAACCAAAAGTGGATAAGACTGGGAAAAAGCCTTCCTTGGAATATAATTTCATTAATGCTTCTGCAGAAAAGATAAGCTCATAAATTCTGTTTTCTGGTTTGGATTGATCAAGTAAGTTCTACCATCCTTTTCTTCTGAGAGTTCAGATTTCAAATGGTCATGCAGCAGCTACTAGAACAGGTGAACTGTTGAGTATTTCCTTTTTTCCTTGCATGAAAATTAATTGACTGTTGGATTTTCCTAGTTGTTATGGTATCACTACGAACAGAATTTTTAAAAGCTCAATTGATTCCTGCAACCAAACTGTGAAGGTCCCTTTTAAAATACTCAGTAGGAGTTACGATGAGCAGAGACATGTTGTTGTGAATACTTCTATCACATGAAAAACATATCAATTCTCTTATTAATCCAAAAGGTTTCCTTGCTTGTCTTGGGTGGAAGAATAAGTAATGGGCATAGAAAATCGTCTCCATCTGGCAGGGAGGGAGTAATGATGGTTTTAACACTAAAACAGCACCTTTATCTTCCRATGGAAACCACTGCCACATTCCAAGACCAGCTTGTCAGAACTGTACTGTTATTTTTCTGATGGCAGAAAATCAYTGACAGAGCCCTGTACTGGACTGCAGCGAGAAGCCCCACACTTTKGGTGGGCAACAGTGGCCCACGTTGCTGGGCACAAATCCAGGKCCTTGTTTCCTCCCGCAGGGCCGCTGTCACCCCGCAGTGTCACACGGGCAGTGTTACCCGCGTGCCCCATGCTCACCATGAGCTCCTTGCTCCCCACCCTGCTCTTGTTTGCAGCTAAATACTGCTTTATACAATATAATAGAATAAGTTTGTTATGGGGTTGGCGGAGCCCCGGCGCACCCCTTGGGCCGAGCTGTCCTACACAAATGAACACGAAGCACTTTTAGGGGCAAGCAGACATTTGGTCCCTGCTCCCCCGCTCATTAGGGCCACTAGGGACCTGTAGAAGATGATCAGAGGGGAATTTCATCCATCCGGACGGGAGTGCCTGTTGCCTGTGCCGGGGATACTCCGCTCGCTGCCTTCTCCCGAGCGCCGCGCTGCTCGTGCGGCAGAGTCCCGCCGGACCCCGCCGCCGCCAACAAGCCCCGCGCCGGGGCCTGCGAGTTAAATATAACCGCGTCCAGCRCGAGGAGGGACGATTTAATGGGAAATGGTTGGCATTCCCGGGCGCCGGAGGCCCGGCGGGCGCGCGGCGCAGAGGCACGCGCAGGCGGCGAGGAGCGAGGAGGCGCACGGCGCGGCGGCAGCGGCAGCAGCAGCAGCGGCAGCAGCCACAGCAGCAGCAGCAGCAGCAGCAGCAGCAGCAGCAGCAGCATGCCGGCGCTCAGCCCCGCGCTCCGCCTGCACCTCCTCTTCTGCTTTGCCCTAGCCCAGGCGCCCCACGCCGGCAGCGGCTTCTCCGGCTCGGCAGGTAAATGGCTTCGAGTCTCGTTGCTTTTCGGCGGCCGGACCTCTCCCCTGCGCTTGCCAGGGAGCGCGAGAGGAAAAGACACCTCCCTCGCCCACCTTAGCAGAGGAGTTTTGCACTGCAGACCTGTGCTGGCACATGCTAGGAGACTTCTGTTGCATGATTGGCTTTGCTTTCTGCTTGATTATTTCTGGTTTTCAATCGCTCCCCTTTCCCGTCAGAAATAGTAGAGACATCCTCGGCTGCTCYGAAATGCTTTATTTTCACTGTGGGCTTCTGTGGTGCTCTGCTAACTAATGCTACGGAGGACCTGGCCCAATTACGATACTACTTACACGTCTGCACGTTTCTTTCTATTTTGGATGAGCTTAGGTAGGTTGCAGCAAAGGAAAGAAAACGAGTATCGATGTATATGTGCTTCTATAAATAAAGCTCTGACCTCAGTGAGCGCTGCCGGACTCCCGGCTGGATGTTAGCACAATAAACATCATGCGCTCCGGCTACGACACTAACAAATACTCAGATGACTGACATAGCAAACAAGAGGCTTTCTGCTGCATGGAAAATCCCTGCTGGGAGAAGGCAACACGCGTTGTTTGGCAGCTGAGCCGGGGCCCTGGAAATCCCGCTCGATAGGTTTTCTGGCTCGAGCAGCAGGACGTTCCCCTGATCGCGTTTGTGGCGAGGAAGGGGAGAGCCCACAGGGACTCCGACTCCCGTCGCTTTATGGCAAATTGCTCCCTCCCACCTTCTGTCTGCTCCTCTTTATGGGTCAGTAGAGATGCTGCAGGGGGAAATCCTAGGTTCCTTCAGGGTCAAGTTTGAGAAGAGTCAAGTGAGCTGCGTAGGTCGAGGTCTGCTGTGCCTTCTGATCCTCTCTGTGTTTCTGATATCAAGAGAGTGATCAAAAGGCTGCAAATTTTAAGACTTCATAAATTAGTCTCATAGATGGATTTAAAGACATGTGCTGTCTCTTTCCTTATCTCTCTCTCACCTTAAAATCTCTGTGGCCACCATGGAGCCAGATGGATTACCTTTAAGGGACTCAGGAGGGAACAGGATAGCATGATGAGTTGATAGAGTCAGGGTAGCATCAGGACAGCATGTATGAGTTGATAGAGTTTCTGCACCAAATCTGTAGGATGCTAAAAATATTTACATTAGTTATCACTTCCGCTCAATAGGGTACACTTTAACTTTTTTAACTTTTATTAACTTTTCGTGAAGTTAATATTAGTTAAAGTTGAGTTACAGCAATCAGTCAAGACCTTCACTGGCATGTTTCAAACCATCTTGCACTAGCATAGWAGTTATTGTACCTGAAAAAATACAGCTTTGCTGTTATTTGAAGCAAGTAGACTCCAGCCAAATGAAGAAATTCACATTTCCATCATTAATTATAGAGCCTGGACTTTCTCTTGCAGTGATTTTCTGTTATGGAGCATCCTTATTTTCTAGAGAAATCATTGAAATTGCTCTCTTAAAAAGTAACAATGCAGGAAATATGTCCTTCCTGCTGCAAGGGGAAAGTTCTTGCATCTTGGAAGCATGGTAGAAGAGGCAATTAGGAAGGAGAGCTGCATGGCCTGTTGATGTCCCCACCATGGCTTTTGGGCCAAAGGATGTGTTCACACCTCAACAAACATTTTTTGGCTAACGAGGAGTTAGGAAAATCTACAYGAGGCCCTAAATCTGCCCAAGGCAGAAAGCAACAGGGCCCTGGGATGGAACTGGTAGAACCCATCATTGTTGGGGCTCCCATCCGGGCGATGCCCCACACGGCCGAGCCCCACACGAGCTGCAAACTGCCCTGTGCAACGAGCAGGCTCTCAGCAGGGCTTGCACTGCGAGTGTCCCTGATGGGATGTGGGAAAATAACATCTACCACCGCCACAGGCAGTGAGACTCTTACTCTGGCGACCATATCAAATGCTGTTTGCTAATGGGGTCAAGAGAATCCTTATTTTCTATGAAGAATCACACAATAAAATACAATTCTTTAGTGGTTTAATTGCATCTGCATTTGACAAAACATCTCCAAGGGAAAAAGCAAAGGTGCAGAGGCTGGGTCTTAAAAAACTTTGAGTCTTAAATGGCYGAGGCCATTGAAGTTCTCGATGATTTCAATGATTTCACAAATGTTCTCTTCTGTGGCTGTCAGCTTGGCTTATTATTTATGTCTGGCACCAGGATTTAATTTCACATTTAAAGAATAGGTTTAGCACTGCAGTTGCAAACTCTAATCACATTTAACAGCAAGGATATTATTAAGCAGCGACTTGTCTTCCCTACAGTTGTAAAAATACATCTGGTTATTTTCCAGATATGCCTGAAAAATGCTGATCTTGAGGTAGTTTTATTTCTGTCCTTATATATCTTTCCACAGCAACAGGTCACAAACAGAAAGTTTAGCAGGTCACAGAGGAAAAACTAGTAAGTATAAACAACCCGCAGGGGATTTATTTATGTATTTATTTATTTTATGGTAGAGTAATTGGGGAAAGACTAACAATCTGGATCATTTTCTCTTTCTCTACCACTCAGTCCCACCAGGCTCAACCCTGCATCCCTCCTCCTGGAAGGTTTTAAAACGCGGTGTCAGCAGCACGGAGTCAGTTTTCCTGGTGCTGAAGCATCATTTCTGGAGGAAATGTTTCAGGGAGCGATATTACACCGTTTCAGGCATGTGACCCTGCTCCTGCGTGGCAGCAGGGTGTAACTCAAGCCTCCTGGAGGCAGCAGGTTTGTTTTCAAGGCAACCTGTTGTATCCCCTCCTAAAGATCCCATATTTATCATGTCCTCTCCTGTCATTTTGCAGAGCTCTGCTCTACTGAGGTTCCTACCCTGTGCATGTGACACCCAAGGGCCTCTACTGCTGTAATTACCTACCAAAAAGCTGGGCATGAATTTTATACTCATTTTYAGTAGTGTTAAGTGGTAAGAACAAGACTGAAAGAAGCCTTCTTCTAAACCCAGGTTTGCAAAGACTCTCTTCCTCTCCCCCTTTGTCCTTTTCTTCCCTTCATCTCTTGATATATCCAGGAAGTCTCATTTTTTAAAGGGAGATGGGAAATTACTTAAAATACCTGCAATAATTGGAGAAGGAAAGGAATATCCCAAAGCTTATTCCAACCCAAATTTCCTTTTATCTGTGACAGAAAGGTATCACTTGACTGAACTTTTTCCTTGCCACCGGTATTGATTGAATTTTCTTCCACGGCGTTGTAGGAATCAGGGTCTCCATCCTAAAAAAAAATTGTATTTTTTTGCAAAAAACATATCTGACTCCATCAGCAATTTCTTCCTCTAATGAAGCAACCTGTAAGAAGGCTGTGCTGTCAAAAAGGATGGCAGAGTTGTCAGGTGCATACTTCTTAGTTCCTAGGGAGAGTGATTGTAAACATTTATTTTTGTAAAATCACGAAGGAAAAACAATGATGAGTGTTCTTAAAGGAATAAGAAATATGACGAGGAATATAAAATCTAAAGGATCATAAACAAGAGTTGGAAGATTTTCAAAGGCAGCAGCTAGAGGCTACTGAGGAAATAGCCTGTAGCAAACAGAGATGAATCTTTTGGGGAGAAAAAAAGTTAACACAGTTAAGGAAATCTAACCCTGTGCAGAAAAGTCAGCATGGTCCCAAAAGGAGACCTAACACCATGGATCAGGTTTCTCCTGGATCTGAGCAGGAAAGCCTCAATCAGACTAGAAGTTTGTGATGGAAGTGAAGCAGTGGCAAGGACTACAGCTTAAGAATGAGAAGGAAATCAAGTGTCACTGGGATAAGTCACTCTCCTGGATGGGGAACTGGCTGGTCAGAGGCTTCTGGACTGGATATTTAGAAGTTTTCTGTCTTCTTGCAGCTCACAGAGGCCCAGAAGGGAGACCACAGATTCTACTCATGCAAAATCTCTGTAGCTTGAGAGAATTAAAAAATTCCTTGGAAAAGTTTATTTGGCCATTTACACATTACTGGGCAAGTGAGCAGCTGTCAAGCCAAACCCAAAAGAGGGCTGCTTTGTCTTTACCTGKTATGGCCTGATGCTAACGTGATAAAGGCAGCAGCTTTTGAGCAGCCTTTGGAGAAAYGTTTGGACTGGTAACAAGAAAAAAGTAGTCTGGTGAGATGTGGTTAGTGTGGCATTCCAGGAAACAAGTCCTTAAAACAAACAAGTTCATAGAATGCTTAAGGTTGGAAGGGACCTCAGAGGTCATCTAGTTCAACCCCCCTGCACACACAGGGTCACCCAGAGCACGTGGCACAGGGCTGCATCCAAGCGGGTTTGGAAGATCTCCAAAGAAGGAGACTCCACAACCTCTCTGGGCARCCTGTTCCAGGGCTCTGTCACCCTCACTGTCCAGAAATTTTTCCTTTCCTTTTCCTACTTCCYTTGAGGTATTTATAGACCTGATCAGGTCTCCCCTCAGCCTTCTCTTCTCCAGGCTGAACAGGGCCAGCTCTCTCAGCCTTTCCTCATAGGGCAGATGTTCCAGGCCCCTGATCATCCTYGTAGCCGTTTGGATCAAAGAAACATTGACTTCCACTTTAACTTTAGTTTCTCCCCYAGTAGATACAGGAGAAACACCTGCTTGGCATGGTGTGGATAATACTCAGGGATTAATTTAGCTCGGGATCCCTAGTCTCCCTCTTGTGACTTATGGCTCAAGGGAAGCGCCGAGATCCGTAGGAGCAGCTCAGCAAAGGCAGAGGGGCAGCGGAGCCTCCTGAAGAGACCGTGGCATTTCCCTGGCAGTGCTAATGGGAAGAGGGACCGATGCTTGTGAGGGCRCTGGACACTGCCGTGCGAGCTTGGCTCCATGGCTAACCCTCAAGAGGGAAAAGAGCCTCTCACCTGCTCGTGGCTTCGCCCAACAAGACGTTTCGCTTCCCAAAAGAGGTGGCCTGACTCTAGCACCAGTGGTGGGAAAATGTTCGGTGGGGTGACTGACACAGGAGCACCAAGAGAGCAGGTATTGCAGCAGGAGATGAATTATTGTATC